AGAGCAACAAAGGTAGTGAAGGGTCTGGAGCGCAAGACTGATGGGGAGCGGCTGAGGGAGTTGGGGTTGTTTAGTCTGGAGAAAAGGAGGCTGAGGGGAGACCTTATCGCCCTCTACAACTATCTAAAAGGAGGTTGTAGCGAGGTGGGGGTTGGTCTCTTCTCCTTGGTAACTAGCGATAGGACAAGAGGAAACGGTCTCAAGTTGTGCCAGGGGAGGTTCAGGCTGGATATTAGAAAGAACTTCTTCACTGTTAGAGTTGTTAGGCATTGGAACAGGCTCCCTAGGGAGGTGGTGGTCTCACCATCCCTGGAGGTGTTCAAAAAACGTTCAGATGTGGTGCTTCAAGACATGGTTTAGTGAGCATGGCGGCATTGGGTATACGGTTGGACTTGATGAGCTTTGATGTCTCTTCCAACCATAATGATTCTATGAATATTGTACAGAGCTGCTAATGAATCAGAGCAAACAGAGCACAAATAAAATTAATTCGGCCACATCAAAATCTTAGGAGTGTAGAGGTGTCTCCTCTGGAAAAGACTTTACAATCCACAGTTCTTTTCAACTAAGCTAACAGAAAACTTGGCAAGACCACTGCAGCTATTCCGTCCCTGGCAGGCAAGAGTAATTAAGTTCTCATTTAACCCCTTTCCACAATCACTATCTGTAATTATGTCTTTGAATTAATTTACAACAGAAACCCTATTTTTTTCCTAGCCAGTCATTAAAAGATTAGGTCTGAAGTGGAAATACATTTCCCTTTAAGACACCTGAAGAAAACACAAAAAAGATGCTTCCTGCCAAAATCAATGCTACTTACTTTTTAAAATCAACTATAAAAGAACACAAATTTAACACTGTCAAGATCTAACATTAAGAAGAAATAAATTTAATAAAACCATACTTCTGCTTGTTCATTTCTCTTTTTCATCATTAAACGCTTCAGAGAATAGAGTCAGTATGATACACCTGTTTCAACTAGCTTAAAAATATCTGAATGAGGACTGAAAAGCTGAATTTCACTTGAAGTCTAGTTATTTTATTTGCAAATATAGCTCAAGATAATTACTTTTCTGAAAAAATAGCTATAAAGTCCCTCAGATTTGCATTACAGATCACTATTTAATTATCTAGAGAGTTCTGTCTGAAAAGGTCCAAGTAAAGCCAGTAGTTCAAAGAATAGCAAAGCAGCACTAAGCAAAAACAGACTTCTAGCTTTGCAAAATTTAAATCAGGTGTTTCCTATGTATTTGTCCTGTAACTAACAGTGTAGCAGAACAGGAGCTTTGATGGAGCAAAAATACTCTGCACAGTAACTGTACGCAAGATACTTGCCACAGCAGACTTGTGCCACGCAGACAAGAAGAGATACTATGCTGCCACTTAACTGCAGTAGGAGCAGCAAGGTTTAAGCAGAACAATAGATTAAACCAGTCATTGATAATTTCTCCTCTCTGGGCTGTTTTCTAGGCTCTATAAACCTCTGTCATTCGCCCAGAGGCTCTTTAGACTAAAGCAAAGTTGATCTACTGCTCAGACTGTTATGCCTGAGCTTTGCATATAAGCAGGCAATAGAGGAACCAGAACAACAGCTTCTAGGGAGAAGTTCTCCTTCTCATAGTACTGATGGACAGCAAAGAAACTGATAACCAAAAGCAACAAGCAGCAAAAGGCAGCTGTTAGAGCAATTTCCTCTCTCCTTCCGCTGTTCCTGTGATTACAGGTGGGAGAACGATCCCACTATGTTGTCCCCACAGAAACAGGACTAGTTCAAACATTAAGTTAAAAAACCCCAATGAATATAAACAATGTTTTTTATATTCAGTCAGGGAGCAAGGTCAGGTTTTGAGGTTTTTGGTTGTGGGTGGTTTTTTCTTTTCCCCCTCTAGCAAGTGCTCCTGAAAATACAAGGCTGGATAACATTTCTCTACAATTACAGTACAATTCAGCTACTCACAAGAATTACTGCTCTGTGCACACATATCTGTGGAAAACATTTATCCACCTATTAGTGAAGGTGATTTGTAGGTACTCCTATTAGCAAACTATATGTTACTTCATTATTTTTCTGAAAAGCATTATGACTTGAAGTACACTTACGTTTGCCAGACCAGACAAGAAAATACCTATTAAGCAGCAGCAAATAGAATCACCCTTACCTGGAAAGGAAGCTCTTGAAGACAGCTTGGAATCTCTTTTAATTTCTTTAAAGGCACTTTTGATCTATTGCCATAATCCACAAAAAAAACCTGGAAAAACAATCAAGACTATCTGCAGAGATTTTACAACACTAAAAGTGCTACTTTTAATGGCAAGGAAAGTGACAACTTAAGTTTAATAATTACAGTACAAAACAATCTTATCAAGTGAAATGGAAGTAAATTCAGAGTCTGGAAAACATGCAAATGAAGTAATGTCAAAAATAATAGGTCAAATTTTATCACGTTCATTATTTGATTCCTTGGCTTAAACATCCACTGGTAACACAAATAATCTGCTAAATTGACAAAAGGCAAGTTTCTCTGAAAGGCTCTAATTCTCTCCCTGCAATTAAATCTGTATAACCTTAGTTCTTAACAGTGAGTAATACTACCTAACAACTGCTTTTAGATAAGCAAATGCTAACACAGATCCTGTGACTGTTTACACATGCAAAAGTGAAAGTGATGAGATTAGCACTGTTATTCACTAGTTTTCCATGACTTTAAACAGATGACAATGTTCAGTATTAACTCTATGGTGGTGACACCCAGCTGTGTTAAGAAATCAAAGAAATTCAAAGGAGGAACGGGCTGTGCAAAAGCCAACCATATAAAAATAAAACACCTGTCATTAACTGCTGAAAATGAAAGTATTGGCCTGAAAACTGAACACCAATCTGGAACTGTGGCACTAATTTCCATTACTGATCTTGGCACAAATAACCAAAATGTTCTGACGAATTTGTTGATGATATAGAATGCAGCAACAAACACTGATGCAAAAAAGATCAGACTGAATGGACCTGAGAACTCAACAGGAATGGGGAAAACCAAATGGTATGAAGTAAAAGATCATATCCTTTGGAATTTTTAACAATTTCTATTATAAATGCTCCATTATTATTCATAAATTCTAATTAGCTGGAAATTACCGAGCAGACAGAACTGGGTATAAGATGACAAGAGACAGCTCATGCAAAAAAAACTGAAAAAGCAAACGCAGTATGCGTCACATTAAATATTTTTGAATGCAGAGGAGAAACACTGTGTTGGAAGAGGAATACTAGAATCATTGCATAAGCAAAGGCGGAACTGTAAGTAACAGAGTATGCATAATTCTGCTTCAGAAAACTGAGGTCAAAACAGAATAGAGGAGTGAGATGGAGACGAAGTGAACACAAAGACAATGTAGTATGTGAGATGAGAAAGTGCAGCTTGCTTCAATTATCAAAACAAAGTCCAGGAAGAAAGAGATAGACAAGAAACTTGGGGGGTGGGGGGAGGGAAGGAGGAAAAGAAGAAAACCTATGTAAACCAGGGGAAGAAACACTGGCAGCAGAACAAGCTTAGACGAATCAGCCATGAATGACTGAAAACTGCCAATACAGCCGGGCAAGAATCTTACTTTTCAGATGGATCTCAATATATTTATGAAGAGGAAGTGATGGGGCTGCTGCCAGCAACACAGCACTGGACTCTGATCTAGGCATTTCTCACCATATTTTCAAGGTCACTGGAGGTTTTAGTCTTTATTTTGCTGTTCTCCGCTTCAGCACTTTACTGTACCAACAATAGCCTCTCAATTTAATACTAAAATATTCCTGTGTTCTGAAAAAAACCTAATTCATCTATTCTGGCAACATTATATTAAGGTTTTATTCTAGTTCTAGTTCTGCGAATTTCTTTACTGGAATATTTATAACTATCATGAACATAGCGCTTTGTGAAGAAAAAAAAGCTAGCTCTGAGATTGTTAACCCAATTACAACCTACCAATTCAATATGACATAACATATTACTGTACCTCAGCAAAATCTCCACAAACATGCAGAATACGAGCTCTATAGTATCCTCTGTTTTCCAGAGAAGTGAATGGTGCCAGACAAACCAACTCTGGATGTGGAGACACTGGCAAATCCATCAGGTTCCGGTAGTTAATGTCAGCAGTTAGAGCCTGCAGTACAGTCCTGTTTTTTTCATCTATCCTGTAACCCCAGAAATGTCCAACTTCTACTATCTGAAAGTATAAATATTAGACAATATCAGATTTCATACTATTCTTCTACATAAAATACAAAACACATCTGAGCAAAATATACAACAGCATTCCTACTCCTGACACATAGAGGAATGCTCTCATACTGCAATAATGCAGTGAAGCATTTTTCTCTCATAATTAGATGTTATTTTGAAATGTTTATTTGCTGTGCATCTGCAATACACTTTTCATTTAAATAGACCCTGATATAAGCATTACTAAAATACAGAAAATTAAGAAAAGACTGCTTCCATTTTTCTAGACCAAATTAACATACAAAAAATACAGAGTATACAGCTGATTAGACATATAGGTATGGTGCACTCTTCTTATTAGTGAAAGAATATCAGTTAGCTACATCTATCAGCAAATCAGCATTGTTACTGTTATGATCAGCCATCCTTTAGGAAACCAAAAAGAAGACACTAGTATTTAAATCAAATTGAATAAAATAAGTCATCTTTTCAAATGGCTTACTAAACTCACATACCATTTCTAATCTTACATCAAATGCTTGCAATAAAAAGAGAATCTTTATTTACAATACATACAATCGTTGAAGCTGATGTATTAAACAGAAGTAGCATAGAGAGCTAAGTGATTGGAATGTGTCTGATCAAATCCATGAACATTTTTGATCCAAGAGACTTAGCTGAATAAAATAAATATTCTTTTCTGCATCTGCAAAACACATCACTACTATCAAGAGCTGGTTTAATACTTCAGCCTGTAATTTCAACTAGCTTAGTGGTTTTGATTTTTTATATTATTATTTCAGCAGCATATATATTGCTTGCTATTACTCAATTTGTTGAGAAAATGATAGTTAACACAAGATTTCAAAATTCTCAGCTTCAGAACTCAGAAATATTTATATATACATATAATTTTCCCCCAAACACACTATCTTTTATGCATGCAATATTTTTCTGAATGAGCATGCAGTACCATTAAATCATCTCATTTCTCACATCTACAGTTTCTGAAGAAAACTGCCAGTCAATAATAATTATGTAAATGGCTCAAATACCTACTGATTCTCATATCTATAGTGTACACAAATATTTTACCTCTCCTGTTAATCCTCTTTTACATAAATGTAAATGTTGGCTTCCAGCTAACATTTACTGCCAGTGAATCCCACAAATTTTGTCAAGTGCAAATAAATTTCAATGTTTGAAGTTTATTTGTGACATGCAAGTACTGTTTGACAAAGAACTACTAAAAATCAGACCAAGAATATTCTCCATACCTCTTACAGATACCTCTGGGCTAAAAACATTTTTAGTACCCATTCTTTCAATTTAAGCTTGTCAGATATTAATTTCTGCAAGGTTATCTAGGCACCAGTTATTAGATATGACCTACTTCAGACGTAGAACATTCCTACCTCTGTTATCTTGATGGACAGAAGACGATTTGGGATCATCTTTGACTGTTGCAAACTACCAAATGAGATTTCCACAGGCTCCACCATCTGCTTCTGACAGTCCACGTTTACTCTAAAAGGTTTATGGAATAAAGATCCTAAATACTTCGCTCACAAGAGAAATCTCAATAGTTCAAATTTTTTGCTTTCATTTGCTTCCCAAGGTGTCCCTAGGGCACATTTATGTACTTAATGACTTTTATTTAGAAATATATGAATTCAACTAGAATGTAAAACGACCACGCAGAACTAAAATACTACAGAGAAACTGTTCGAATTCCATTATGACCAAACACAGGAAGATACATACCAAGACATAACTGTGCCATCAATTTATTAGAAATCCAAAGAATTAAGGTTAAATAGTGAGGCTTTTTGCTATGGCATGCCTTCTAAGCCTGTTTTTTAAAAATAAATTGAGTACGCTGCAGCACAAAGATAAATTCAGGATATCTTTTTTTTAATATATATATAAAACTCCTTTTACTTGACAAAAGTTAAGAACTCTAAAAATCAGTCTTTCAGCGTAGGAGACTTCTTTCTTGAGTTCCTCAAAAATTAATTTTCACAAAGATTTTAAGTGCTGGTTTTGGGTATAGTGAAACTGCTAAAATGTTTTATTAAAAACTAAGTACAATCAACTCGAAGTGAAGTATTCACCTGTGCTTTAACCTTTCCAGTTCATTCCTGCCTTCCTATTTTAGATTTCTTATTTTAAAATATTAAAATGGCTGCAGACCAATCAGGAGCTAGGCAGATTATCATTTTAGCAATTTGCTTGTATGACCTGAAGCTGAGAATCACAGGCAGCATATAATAACAATGAAACCCACGTGCGAGATTTTCCTAGCAAAAGCAAGCGCAGACCAAAATGACTTACTACATGGCATTCCTCATCAGTATTTTTTATTACGCCTCCCCACCTTACGTTGTTACATTTCCCCCCAGTTTCTGTTATACTCCTCCTCCCTCCCTTTCTTTCATGTCCCTAAACGCCACTCCTTATTTATTTCTTATTTATTTTGTTTCTAGCAATCCTTACACTGTCTCTAGCATGAACAGAAATTACTGTGTACATCCACATTACCATGCCAAAAGCAAATGGACTAGAACCTTAAAAAAAAAAGTATACTTGGGAGTTCTCTTAAACAATAAAACACCTTTAACTATAAAGAAATATTTAAGACAATCATGTCATTTCTAGTCCTGCAAAAATATTCTGCTTATATGAAGTTTACACATCTGTTTTTAGAACCTAACACGTCCTCCTTGGTGACACTTCCAAGGAAATTCCCACTGAATCCAGCAAACCTCGTTTCACTGCAAAGAAACACATTTTCCATATGCAATACAACTACCTTAGAGATTCCACACTTGCAGCTGTCACATCTTGCAATTGCCTTTTGATATCATCTGGATAATGAACGTTCAGATTAAGAGGAATTTTCAGCTGTGACATCTTGAGTGACAGGTACACTGCAGGAAGAATCTTAAAGCCCTCCATTGGGTTACGGGAGAACTCCACGAAAGCCCTGTTCAAAAAAAAAAAAAAATCAAAGCAAAAAAACACCCTACCAAATAAAATTGCAATAAATACTTGATAAGGAATTAAAACCCAACAAAAAACCCCACAAAAGCCATTTCTTCTCCCTATCTTTATCTTAGCAGGCCAGCAAACAGTAAAAAGTAGGTTCCTCATAGGCTTTGTCTACTGCTTTTATGCACCATAAAACCTTATCATGAAGTTTATAAGAAAACTTTCTAAAATTCTCACAAGCACATACCAAATTTACTGAGCATATTTAACACAAATACAAAGGATGTGAAAATATCTGAGTAAGAGAAGAATTAAAGATTGGAAAAAGGCATAAGAAGGGCTATGAATGAATTCAACTTTGGGCAGTTGTGGTTGAAAGTTAGCCAGACAATTCCTAAAACAGCCAGTCACATGCATTTTGTGCAAGGCCATCTGACTGTATACTGAATTTAGCTCATTTGTACAAGTCAGAAATAAATACAGGCAGATCAGCTGCAGTTAAAGTCCACTGTTAGACAACAGAAGAGATAAAATAGAAGGCAGTCTCTAACTCAGCCAGTTTATCTAATGTTATTCCAACCAATGCATATCAAACTTCAAAACCAACTTACTTACTCTAGCCAATACATTAAAAATAAATTACTGATTCCAAAGAGATGAGAAGAAATAAACAAACTCATTTTGCCAGTGCACCATTGAAAAAGAAAGAAATTGATTACTAGATTCACAACCAAGATCATGAGAAAAGCAGCATACTTATATTTTATACTTACTTTGATCCATCATAGGCAATAGATTTTACCTGCCCACACTGTCTGAACAGTGACTGCAACTGTCTGTGGTATAGATAACCATAGGGAGGAATGTTCTTCAGCTGTTAAGAAAAAAAAGTTAAATTTGGATACATTCAATTATTTTAATGCATTAAGTTCACCTAAATAGTTAGCTTCCTCCTTCACTTGAGCTGCAATAGTGACATACAATCTAAATCCCCAAAAATTCAAAAAATGCTATATACTAAATTAAAAAATTTCAAAAGACAACAAAAATCAAGAGTTTTGCTGCTAATGCTGCCATACTGCCTTAAACCAGTAGATAAATGTTTTCTTTCTGTAACTATAAATGAACTAGCTTCACTTGTAATGATATATCATTTCTTTGATAATTTTTCCTAGAAGCTGTCTACTATCCCTTTTCATCCTTGTAACAGAAAAGCAATGGCTTGCTATGCTTCCCTGTCCAGCATTGGGAACGACATCCTAGGCAGTGTGCATAGCCTGGGAAACAGGAGGAGTTACAGCTCTGCATGTCCCAGCAAAACTACCACAGATTAAATTACTGAGGCATGGTGGGACAGCTTGCTCAATTGGAGAGCACTTATGGATGGATACGTGCTTCTTAGGGACGACAGCAAAAAGCAACCTCCTTGTCTTCCCTGTGTGGAGGAGTAGCTCAAACGTAAGGTGCTCTTACATGGAGCAGACAATTGGACAACCCAGCTCTTGTGGGTCAGGATAAGAGAAGAGATCAGTAAGGGTAACGCTGAGGTGGGAATTTGTAACAGAGCATCAGTCAGGATGACTCAGATAATCTTTAGGCAACTTGCAGAGGTCTCCAGATCACAGACACTGCATCTTAGAGGGAGACAATAAGCTCCCTGATAACCTGCTAGAAGGGCAGGAGACAAGCTCCTAGATTTCTGAAGGGTGTTGAAAGTAACTTCGTAAGCTAAACAGGGCTCTTCTGGATCTATTATTAGCGAACAACGTAGAACTTGTTATGGAAGCGATAATCAACAGCAGCCTTGACCAGAGCAACCACAAAAGAGGGGAGCTCAAGATCCTGAGGAGAATGAGGGAAACAATTAGCAGAATACACATCCAGAAGTCTAGGACAGCACAGTTTGATTTATCCAGGGAACTGGTAGGTGGGATCCTGTCAGAAGTTGCAGAATCTCCATCCTGAGAGCTTTTTCCAAACCCAAGTGGATGAAGGTCTAAGCAACATGGTCTGAATTCACTGTTAATCCTGCTTTGACCCTATCACCGACTGGATAAGTTCATGAGGTCTATTCCAAACTGAATTATTAAACAATTTTGGTTTTCTTGGATTTTAATTCTACAACAATACAAATTGATGAAGTTACTGCAGTCGCATCACCTTTTCAAAGGCATTCTGTTAAGTATAACATTCTAGTTAAATATATCAGATTGTATAATGTTAAGTAAAGTGGATTCTATAGATGGTATATAGTTAAGTACAACAGATTATGACTTTAACATGTATGACCAAGGCAACAAGATAAATAGTCACGCATTTCACAAATTCTGTGAGCTAAACTAGCCTGAAAATTAACTCTACAAAGCAATAGATAAGCTTTCTCCTACTTTAACACCTTGCTTACTCAGGAGGCACATGAGATCTAACATAAGAAAAGGGCATGTGCAGTCAAAAGCAAAGCAAGACTCCAGCTGAACTCATTTAGATCTGTTTAAGGCTGAGGGTTCACAACTACTAATACACTACTGTAGCCAGATATCCATTTCTCTATCTTTTTCTTATTCAATCATCTCTCACAGGAGATCTTGCCTTAATACAGAATCACAGAACTCCTAACTAGCAAGTTCAAACTTCTGGAGTTTGAACTATTTTTCAAGGGCTATACCACTATCTATTCTTCTCTTTGGTTGTTACAGTCTTAGACAGGAAAGAACAGATTATTTTCAAGGCATACGAAGATGTTTTTGAAGTTACAGTACCAAGATCAGCTGCTGATCAAAACCATGGTCTAGGTCAGACTGCAGAAACTGCCTCAAGGCAAGATGATTTAGAGAGACCAGAGAGCGGGAGGAAAAATAACCTTTTCTATCTTTGGCACACACCATTAAGAGCATCATACTGCTGTAAGAAGAGCCTCTCAAATTGAGAGCTTGAGAAACTTGCAGCACTTGTGCCCAAGAAGATCACTTAACCCGATGAAGACACAGCAGGTGTCTTCAAGGTAACAAGCAGTCAACATACGAGCAGATCAAGAGCCACATACATTAAAAGTAAATAGTTCCTTAAATCTAACAGTTTAATCTTAATCAATGTTGCTGTGGCAAGACTAATCTTGTCTTTATTCCACAAGACAGTCTAGTCTGGCATTTTGCTTTAATATCCTTAAACAATATGTTAAAAACTTCAAAAACATACATAAATGTGTTTGTGCACACATATTGCCATGCCAGCATCTCCTTCAGTATAGAACTAGCCTCTTCTCTTGGGTAAATAGTAAAGCATGAAAAAATTCCTTGTCACCAAGTTTTTATGAGTTTCTCTCCTAACTTTTTATCTAACTATTTTCTCTTGTGCCAGTACAAGTCTATTCTTTGAGGCTCACTGGTGTGTAAGTTTGTTTTCTTTAAGCATCGGTCATGGTTATATTACAGTGTTATACCTAGTTCAGATACATCAAACATTTTCCTAGCTTAGTTTTGTATACCAGTTTGTGAATCAACACAGCCATTTCAAACTTGCACTTACTCAATGAGATAAAAAAAACTTTCTAAAAGAAGATAAAAAGAAAGCAGAGTGCAAGACCTGAGTAACCTTAAAGCAACATGCATGTATGCCATGCACTATCAAGTAGGAGATTAAAAAAAAACAAAACGATCAAGTTGCAACAACACACTTCATAAATACTCATTAAAAGTACCCTTGATAGTCCTGTTCTAGTTTTATGGAAGTCATTTGCCTGTGCAAGACTAGCAATCAAATGCTTAGAGACAGTTCTCAGTAGGAATTCTTCTGAAATTGCCCACCCACACAATGTTTATTACATTGAAAGAAAGGGAGATGGGAGAGAAGACAACTTACCAAGTGAGGATCAGAGTAGATAATTATTTCTGTCCTTGCCCAAGACAAAGCAAAGCTTGAAAATACTGCCCAAACACTACATATTTTTATTACTTGATTCTTTTTTAAGTCATTCACCTTCTTAACATACCATTACAGTGGTTTTCGGATCTTTGCCAGCAAAGTCTCTCACCGCAATTTCTTCATCACATTTTCCAAAAGTAAAGTAGTTTGGATAGAAAGCACCAGCTATTACAACCTGAAATCAAGAGAATATTTTGTAAAACACAACAGATTATACTCAGTTTCTTGAAAAGAGATACACTAGCAACATAAAGAGATACCAACAGATCTTCATAAGAAGATTTTTTTTTTCCTGTTTCTTTCCAGGAATTACTGTAATTGCAGACTACACATTAACTCATGCAAATCCTTAAAAACATACATTCATGAAAAGAGGTCAACTTCTGGAACAATTTTACAACATTTTAATATTTTTATATACAGACCTGCTCTATGAAAACTGTAACTGAGTTCAAGAAGAGCCTAAATTTTAAATAAATTCACATAAAATAGCTACATAAAAATTGTTCAGTCTTCATGTCGCGTTTTACAGTATTTAACAATTCAGCTCTGAGAAGTTCACTGCTTACACAGTTAAACCAATTGCCACTCAAATAACAAATAAGTCCGTGAAAATGAAATCATTACTAATCAGTCCAAATAAGACAAGAAATTAATTGGAAATTTGACAAAGTTACAATAGCTGAAAGACATCTAATTCCACTCCCCGCCCCCAACTAACCAAGCCAGTGTTGGTCCAAATAGAGCACTCAAAACAAGTGAAAATATCATTTTCAAAACGGTTAGTTCTTAGCCTTCTAACACAAACCATCCTTCTTTAGGGTATTTTTGACTTTAACAAAGATTACTTTAGGTACACAGTTAATTCACCTCAGTATGACTTGGTTTTATTTTGATCACCTGTCAGAAGTGAAGGGACAGGCAGAGGATCAACTCAGTGTGAATTCTGAACAATTAAAAGTAACATTAGTTGTCCTTCTAAGTTGTCGAAAAGAATTACTTTTTTTTTTTCCACCTGCAGTCTCAACATCTACAGAGAATTTTGAAACATGAGCGTAATACTAGTTCATCAGTACTAGAAAACCCAGTTATAAATTTTGTAAATAATGGCTCTCCCCTGAAGAGTCAATAAAGTATTACCTGCAAAATGAAGCGTTGTTTGTATACACATTCCTGATCCATAGCAGATGGCTGAGCATTAACACACATATTGAATGCTCCAACTCGCTCTTTCAAGTTGTGAAATAAGTCTGCCACCTGAAATTTGAATTTTAAGTTAGATATTAAACAGATCAAAACTATCCACAAATTAAAATAAAGTCTGTTAGTAAAAGTCTAAGCGGGCAAACTCCCTTTCCTTTTTAGGTCACTAGTATACATTTCACCTAATATACTGCATAGCATCTCTGCTTTGGAAAATAATTTCACTACTGTGACTCAAGCAGTTTTCTTGACATCTCTTTATAAAGTAGAATTTTGTAATCGTAAAGCATGTATGATATAAAACAAAATTAGAACAAGAACTGAAATAACCTTTTACAAGATGATATACTGATTCTCCATTTAAATAATTTTGGGTTTGTATCTTAAAAGGTAAAAACATGCTAACAATAACCTAGAATTCTGCACCTAACTGTAGCAATGACCACACATGCTCCACCCTCAATTCAACAGACAGCCATGATGACTAAGTGAGATCAAACCTATGCCCTACAGCAGAACATGCTCTGTTAAGCTTTCAATCCTAAGCATTTCCAAGAAGCTTCCATAAGCAGCCACTGGTTCTCCAACCACACAGTGAATGCCTTCATTGTCCCAACCGATTTTGGAGCAAGTGCAGAAAAGCACAGTTCACTCAGCTTCTTCGTATCTACATTTTCCTTTCTGCTGCTCGTAGTTTTAGGATACTAACACTCCCATTATTTTCCTCATAGGGTAACAACCATAAACAGAAACCAGTCTGTGTGGCTGCCTGCAAGTCCACTTCCACACAAGGAATTATAAAATTAGTATCTGAAAGTGTGGCAAATAAAAAAGCCCAAATCTTCCTAATAAGTGTTAGTGTAGGTGTCCATTCTAAACTCCTTAACTATTATGTCACGCACAAACTCTTCTTTCATTATCTGAAACTGGGCCAAGAGAACACCAACTACCCAGCAGGCTATCATATAAGACTGATCCTTCAAGCTCTCCAGTTTTACACAATTTGCTTTCTTCTCATCTTTTTTTCCTTGATATTAGATGTACAAACTGAAAAACTATTGGCATTTCTTACCCAGATGGTCACTTACTGTTACAGAATAAGTTTAATCAACCTGATTTTTTAATTATACTCTATTCTTTTGAATGTATTCTTTTGTCTGAATAACTTCGCTTAGCATTAATTGGCAGGAGAAGGAATTCCAGGTCACATACCATAAACTCTTTCTGACCTGGCTGCTTGGCTATGGGGGGCCCTGAAGAAGATAACGAGGAAACGTCAGCAGAAGCTGCAAACCATTGAGATAAGGACAAAAAATGGCCCATCAGGAGTCTGGAGGCAGAGAACCAAAAAGAAACAGTTGAGCCCCCAGACCATGAATTACCATCGGACCAAGAGGCACATGGACAGTGCACGAAGAGACTGACCACTGGGCCGAAAGGCGTGTGAAGGGCACGTGGACAGGGAGTGCATAGATCGTAAGGGTTTAAAAACCCAGGCTTTGTTTCAGGGTCCCTCTCCAGAGGCACTTAGTTCAAGCTGTCGTTCTGCTGTACCATCCAAATAAATTAATTATTTTTTCTAAGATCAGATGTCTGAGACTCTGCTACAGGAGACCTAGGGCAAAGAGATTTCTTTAACACTTAGTATGAGAAGATTCCCCCTGCTCCTTTCTTTTTGAACACAGGTCCTACATTGCTCATGCCAAAGGTACGACCCGCTGGAATAATGCACAAGGCCATGCCCTGCCAATCATAGTTATTCAGGAGTTTTACTTATTTCCCCTCTCAACATATCCCATTAAGCTTGAAGCCCCTTGTGATGCAGAGTTTTCATTAATTGCAGTCCTCATTATGTAACTGTATTTGCTTAAAATTATCCTGAGACAAAAGTTATGTAACAACAGACAGCAGTCACACCACAACCAGTGTATCAGAGGGATCTACAGAATTAGCAAATAATCATAGAAGGTCTCTTAAAAATGTTACAAATATGTTAAACAGTTAATAAGTTAACGCCACTTTGTTTATCGTAACAAAAGGAAAATTCCTTTCATCTAAAAGCTAGCAGTCTGACTGTTTCCAACCCCCACTTCTGAGCTAAGATAATACTGGATGTGCTACTCCTATAGGGTCCACCAAGAGACATCTCTCCACAGTGTCAGTTGTGGCAGTCCATCCCTCCCAGGAGTGGGTACTTGGCCTTATCAACATATAAACGATTATCTGTAGTCCATTCTTCACAAGAATGCACACCTCGCTTTGCTAACATTAAAATTATTTTCCTCACTTCTTTCCTTTCTTTGAAACTGTATATAAATGGAGTCTCTGCAACCACTGGAGAGAAAACAGAGGAGCAGAGGGGGAAATGCTGCCCAAATGTTTGCTCACTATGACCACAGGTCATAAAGTTTCTGTCTGATCTGTCTTAAATTATACTTGGAGTCCCAATATTCGCCAACAACTTTAAACAGTACCATCTCTCCTCCCCCAAAGAAACAAAACATAAAAATTCAGTTTATTTAAAGAAAATATACATCTATACATATTGATAGATACATAATAATACAGTAGCTTATCCAAGATCTTAAAATTTGTAGAAAATAAGGGAAGTTAAGTCCTCCTGCTTATAAAAATGATTATCGGTTTCATCTTACCTCTCTGACCTTCTTGATATGAATACAATTTGATCGACCCCACTCAAGCTCTTCCTGGAAAAGAAAGTGAAAAAAACGCAAATGTAAAAATTGTTAGAAACTTATTTCTTTTACTGCTAGTAAGCTTTCTCTTATATTCTTCTGTGTAGACACAAATAATAGTTATACATAGTGATGGAAGAATTTGATCTCACTTCACAGCTTGCTTGGCATCCATATCAACTGAGTATTATGACATGTATGAAATAAGACAGTTATATATTTGACTAATAAACTATACTTTGGTTACCACCAGTACAGCTGTGGATCATCTAAAGTTTCCATATAAACCCACAAGTCCAACTCCTCTGTGTCGCTACTACAGAATCTACTTTAAGATGGACCAAAAACCCAGAACTTCTTTATCTGGATGCATAACTTTATCAGACAGATTGTAGCCATCTTGGCTACTCATTATAACTCAGTTTATGTTACACACTGCTGTTCATAAAGCATATTATGTTCTGACAGAAGCAGAGAAAGAAAAAAGGTTTTATCTTATACACAAAAAAGAAAGAGTGGAGGCAGTTATTATGTGCATCCTACTGTTTTGGTTTCTTTTTTTTTTGACTGATGCACATAAATATCTTCCATCTTTCAGGGTTTTTTTTTTGGGGGGGTGGGGATGGGAGATCTGTATTTTCTTTTAAAAAAAATAAAGAGAAACACTTATGCATATTAAAAATATTTCTTTCACCTACAGCTCAATTTCCCTTTTCAGCTTGGATTTCAAATCCTATGGCCACCATTGATCCATTCTGTGAAAGGAACTACATAATGGATTGCCTTCAAGTACTCAGCACTGGATTCAAAGTCTATGCTTCTATTTACTTACGAAATATCTTAACTATTATAAAGAAGGATTGCAAGCAAAAATTACTTAATCAGAACATAAAATACTCCAGCACTGAAGTCACCAACCTTAAATAGAAAAGAACAAACAAAGTTTAACTAACCTTGGGATGTCTCAGCTGCCCTTTTTGTCTGCAGGCCTGCCATGCCTAAGAAAAAAGTGGTGTAGTATTCAGGCACGAACTGTAGTGCTTCAGTAATAATTATCACATATATTAATGTGACATCTAAAACTATGAATTTTTTTTCTATACCTATACTAAAGATAATTATTTAACATCAATTTAAAAAACAGAGATGCCCTTGGGCTAAGAGAGACTACAAATATTTAAGCACAAAAGAGCATAAGGAAATCTGAATCACAGTAATTCAGGTTGGAGGAAACTTCTTCAGATCAATTGTTCCGACATTCCACGCAGCAGGGCCAACTTAGATCAGGTTTTTGACCTTTTCTATAAAACCCTGAGTAACAACCTTGACTGACCTCATGGCTGAACCTGCTCTGAGCAGGAGACTGGACTACAGACCTCCTGAGGTCCCTTCCAGGCTTAATTATTTAATGATTCTAGCCTAATATGATGCTTGTCTGGTTGGTTCCTAAGCAGATATAAATACTTCTCACTCTTATGAGTAGTCTTACTCTATTTTGTTGAGAGTGGGGAAGAACTCTGCATGCTCACATATGAGCAAAGGAAGATGCAAAGTGGCATGGTTGCAAAATGTCATTGTAAGAATGCATTACTGGGGGGCTGAAAGTGTGACAGGGTTATAAATGTTGTACCGTGACATGCTAAAGAATAGAAATTGCTGTAGGAAGATAACTATTCTGCCCTCAAGTCAGCTCAGAGGTTATGGCATGCAATGCCGTGTCTACAGACTGAAAAGGAGTTTAAGCACCACTGGATGAACTGTAATTACATATACTGCCTCAAACCTGCCATCGGTTCCTGTAACTAAATTGGAAACACAGTATTTAAGTCACTGACTTTCCAGACATAGCTTAGAGATTCTGGATCTTGGTGCATTCCAAAATCACATTCCAAAATCACACAGAGAACATTATGATCCAAGGCTTTAAAGGTGTAAGTCCTGCTTTGTCTTGGGAGAGGTACAATAGCCACTTGATAACATAGTAACATACAACAGGCTATCCACCCAGTTTTCTGAGAGGAGATGGACTGAGTATTAAAAGCACAGGTAAACATTCATAAATAAATAGAACAACTTGGATGCTTTGATTTGATGCCGTAATAGAGCACGCTACTTTCAGAACCTTTTGCTTTAGGACAAAAGAGAACTGAGACACAGTTCTGACACGGATTCTCCCCAGAAAACAGACCTGGAAGAGAAATTAACATACTCAGAATATTAATGAAAATAATTTCATTATTAGGGAGAAAATCTATGACAGATGCCTGCAGAATCCATTTCTTCTAGTTTGACAGCAAGCTGCCTCATAATACAATTTTCCAGCTCACTGTGGACGCTGACTATTAGCATAGCTGAATAGCCAGACTGCATTTCCCTATCTTGACTGAGGCTGTATGAAGTACCAGTTTTAAATAATACTTCTGACATCCATCACTTGCATACCCAAGCCTTATAATATCTCAGAAAAATAAACTCCACTTATTTAACATTATTTTTTTCTTTTAAAAACTCTCACTCTTTAAAATCATATCACTTACACCAGGCTGATTAGCCTTTACTTCCCTGGATTCTCCTTTTTCCACTACCAAAGCTTTTGACCTTTTCTAATTCACTGAAACCTTTTCATAAGCAAAGGCTTAAAAAAGATGTGCTAATGATTAACAGAACTTCAGCCTACCCTGGAAGAAATCTAATCTGAACCATGGAGTTTGAAAACAAGTTCTTTCCCTCTTCTGATATTCAGCCATTCAAACCAAAGTTTTCACATCACTCGCACACAGAGATATGGCAGAGAAAGCTCTATTTGAATGTTTATGTTTATTCTCCAGGACAATATACTGTTTTATAGAAATATCACCTTCAGGTTAACAGGACACAAGGGAAATACAATATGAAATAGGATAAGGAGAATTCAGAAAAGATGATGCTTGAGCCTCAGGATCAGGGGGTACATGTGGCATACATGCCCATGTGTGTTGCATAAAATTCTGACACCAGAGTACAGGAAAACAAGTCAGCTTTCACCAAAGTGAAAAAAAGGCCAACATACACAATATGGAGTAAATTAAATCTGCAGCTGAAGATTTTGGAGTCTCCAGAATATTACAGAACATGTCAGACCATCCATAATGTACAACGTTGGATTTTGAATCATAAGTTCCTCTAGCAGAAGTCTTCCCTATTGCTGTACCAGAACTGCTTGTAACTGAGGGGCTCAATCTCTGTCCATGGTACTGCGCTACTGAACAGCCAAGCATATCGAAAAATCACATTTGGACAGGATAAAACATTACAAAGTCAAAGCTACAAAGTCCGGAGAAAGGACACCAAACTTATTCTGTACTAGAATTTACCAGTCCAAACCGCCTTCGGTTAAAAGGGAGCTACCAATATCACCATGTCACTAGCATTTTATTTTTGGTTACTACAACAGAGACAATTGCATCTAGTAATGTTATACAGTAGGACACAGCCTTCAAAAAGCAACACTAAGTAGCTAGGAGTAGTGTGAAGTTTTAACAACTTCAAAGCACAAATGCTGCACTGACCCTACAAAGACTAAGATGGAGCTTCTCACCTATCAGATTTCACTGGAAGATAAGCCAGAAAAAAAGACTTACCTTAAATGCATTCACAATTGCAATACAGTCACTCTTACTATTCCCAGCAAAAAACAGTTTGTTCCTGACAATACAAACAAAAGGAATTATCAACAATATTTTTTTCAAATACTGAATGTATTATACAGCTCAGAATGCTACACTACTAACACCTTCTAGGACTTTAGTAAACAAGGTCAATGCATTTATTGTAATAATTTGTTCTTATTCACATCTCCTTGCTGAAGGTAAACTGTGCAGGCAGGATAATAAAAAAAATAATCCTTGCTATTTTAAAAAAAACCAAACAAACACACAACAAACATTTTAATAGACACTGCCACATGTTCACATCAGAAAGACAAAGCTGAAGAATCAGGTCTTGTACTCAGAAAAGGATGAGTTAGCTCTGTGATAATAATTAGTTCACATAGAAACAGATTTCATTATCTCAGCTGTCCTGGAAAAGCTTCTTTTTGCATTGCTTGGCACTTTGACAGAAAATCAGACTCATGACATGGAAAATTATATTTAGTGGTCAACTTAGCCCTCTGCTCCCAAATGTAGTCAGGAAGTTGTAAAACATCTAGGGTAATACCTGTATCCATCAACATGTTGTTTGAAAGGTACTGCAAAAAAATTCCGCAAAGAGAGTGCGGCAGCTACAACAAAAACAAATCAAAATGAAAACCTGCAAATCACTTGCTTTTAGAGAACTATTCTCACATGTTCTTCTTTCAGTTACCTATAATAAGACATTCTTCTAAGCACCCGAAGACATGGCCAAGGACTATCAATTTTCCAAGATGCAGGTCCACTGGCAACTGTGCCAATACCCTTCCTAAGAAAGTCAGCTCACCATCATGTGGATTTTCTTCTGTTTGCACACAAGTTGTAAGTGCTCCCAGCTAGAGAAATTAAAATTTATTCACTTGTAAAAGTTGATGAAGTAAATATATGACCAGTTTGTAAGAAAACAAGATAAGAAGCAAGCAATTATCTCAAAGCTACATCAATTAGTATCAATACTGTAATTAAGTTGAAGTCCTTAAATCAATTTTAAAAGCCTAGTATTTTGAAACCAAAGTCTCTACTACATATACTGAATATAAAAGCAAGGTACAAATTATACAAGTACTATTTCTTACATACTTTGGAAAAGAAAAAGTTTAATGCAATGAATGTTCTACTCCATATCAACTTTATAACTGAAAAGCAAAGTCACCAACTTCCTTGTACAGGTCAGAAGTGGATCTTCAGGCTGACCTCTATATATCATAAGGTGTAAGAATGTGATTTTGCTACTTATTAAGAAACAATTTAACTTACAGAATTCAAGTTCTCGTATTTCTCTCACTTTTCTATTCTTTCTCACCACAGAAGCTAGTTCACAAACAGTATCATTACTCCCTGATGAAATTATAATCCTGTTTTAATGAAGTAACTGCAGAAATTATGCTGAAGAGGACAGTAACCAAACAAGTCAAATGTCAGAAAAGATTCTGTATACACAGGTCCTATTTCAGGTTTCAATTAATGCTATTACTACCTTAAATACCAAGAAAAACACTTCTATGGTACATTTTTATTACCTTGATTTTAACAACATTAAAAGAATGCCTACCTCTTTCAGCTGAAGTATGGTACGTTCAATGTCACCTACGTTGGGTGGAGAAAGAGCTGTTGCCAGCAAGGCTTTTGGTCCCCCCATATCAAGCTTTTTTATTTTTAAGACTGTAGTTCCCAATGGACAACGCTGAAAGGAAGACCATTTTATTGTTACTCTCTCCCCATGGGAAGTGTGACAAAGTGTTTTACACGGAAAACCAAAAGTTAAAAGTTTACAATTTAGTAAAACCTGAAATTAATTTTGTGTAACTAAGGATATTTTTCTTTTGAATAGATTGCTTATTTCTGATCCACATCCATTTCACTGCTACAACACATCTCCTTCTATGAAGAAAACTATGTGGAATGGTCTTTGTCAATTATTTATTCACTTCAAATCTATTCAGTGTTACAGTTATTACTAACTTCAAATTGTACACTGTCTTCACGAAAGTAGAGTAAAACTTCTTCCTCTTGTCTCTGTTATGATCACATGCATTAAAAAAAAAATTTTTAATGTTCCCCAAAAGTCTTACCAATATCTCAGGTACTGAATTCTCTGGAATAAAATGTGTCCAGAAGTCCTTGTGTACAAGTCTATAACAATAGCCTTTGGAAACACGTCCAGCACGACCTCCACATAAAAGAACAAAACACCAATTTGCAAGCTGCCCAAGTTTCAAGCTGTTCAAAACCCATCCATCTACGAGCTTTCTGCACAGCTGAGCAGCACACGACAGCCAATGCTGCAGGCTGACGAGTATTTTGCTCTCTTGCAGCAGACAGGCCCAGTGGAGACATTCTCTCTAACCCTTCCTACTGGATGAAATAATTTTGCTTTCATAGCAGCAGCAACTAACAAAAGAGTTACTTAAGTATTTCACTCAAATACCTCTTTCACATAACTGCCCTCAAATTTGCATCCATCTTTCTCAGTTGAAAAGACATGACAAATTCTGCACTAAAATACACTTCCCCAAAACCAGGAAAAGGTAAGTCCAACCAAATCTAAATTTAATATAGATAAATATGTCAATGCAAGCATATTCCCAAAACTGAAGGTTCTCTACGCAGAGTAAATAAGCTTTGGATTTGTATTTCTTCACACAATGAGTACACTTGGATTTCCTGTTTGACTCTATAGCTAGCAAAAATCTTCTATATAAATAACTTTTAAGTTACCATGATGAACAGCAAAATATCTTTATGATTGTCACCATTTAAGACTGGGCCAGCAATTAAAGCAGATGACAGATGCTCTCTATTAACCCCTTCCTTTCCCAGAAGGGGAGGGAAAGGAGAAGAGAGACACTTGTTGGAAAATCAAAACAATGTCAATAAAACAGTAACAATGAAAAAGCGTACAATAATATTAGTACTAAAACTACTAATAATAGAAGTAAAAATATACAAAACCAATATTGAGCTTCCCAATAATGAGCGTGGGATCGGGATCGTGTGTCACAGTGGCTCGCACCACTGATGCAGCAGGGCAGGCACTGGGATGTCCCAGACTGGATTCAGCAGCAGACGGGAACCGGATTCAAAAATGCACAGATCAGGATCGGAGGCAGGAGAGCAAGTAAAGTCCCACAGCGATGCCGGCCATGAAAGAGAGGACTGACTCCCGTGATCCCTTAGCTTTATACTAAGTATGATGTGTATAGGATGGAATACTGCATTGGTCAGTTTTTTGTCACCTGTCCCATCCACAGCTTCCTGCAGGTGTGACTGTTTTATGCCTCCCCACCCGTGGGCCATAAGAGAGCCAACAGTGACCCTGGGTTCCCACAGGAAAAAGCACAAACACGGGCCTTTCTATATAACAATCTCACCGCTTTAGCAACAACTACAAAAATCAAGCGCTATCCCCTCTAAAAACAGACACGGTCTGAAAAACGCAGTCAGCTTCAGAAAGTGCAGTTAGTTAGAAAAAACTTAACTGAAGGAAAATCTACTGAAAAGAGAATTGGTTCTGTTTTAGCCAAACCAGGACAACGATCTATTATTTACATAAACACACTGATTCAGAAAGTCTATCTTCACAAATCCAAACACCATTCACTTCAAACAAACTAAAAAAGTATACTCCACTCAGTGGGATACTCCACTGGAGAATTAGGCCATATTTTTAAGTCATATGCATAACAAGTCCAAGTCTGCTATACAGAATGCTGCTCCTACTGGTTGTATACTGGCTGGTTGTCATAACCTGCACTGACCCAGAACCAAATGGAAATAAAGCTGTGTATTGCGTTTGCATGGCAAGGTTTTGGTAGCAGGGGGGCCACAGGGGTGGTTTCTGTGAGAAGCTGCCAGAAGCTTCCCCCATGTCCGATGGAGCCAATGCCAGCTGGCTCCAAGATGGACCCACTGTTGGCCAAGGCCAAACCCATCGGCAACAGCGGTAGTGCCTCTGGGATAACAGAGTTAAGAAGGGGAACAAAGTGCTGTGCAACAGCAGTCGGAAGAAAGTGAGAATGAGAAAGAACTCTGTAGAGATTCCCTGTCAGCCCGTGGTGCAGTCCATCGTGAGGCCGGCTGTTCCTTGGCAGCCCATGGAGGCCCACACCGGAGCAGATCCCCACCTGCAGCCCGGTGAGGACCCCACGCTGGAGCAGAGGGATGCCCAAAGGAGGTTGGGACCCCAGGGGAAGCCCACGCTGGAGCAGGCTCCTGGCAGGGCCTGTGGCCCCGTGGAGAGAGAAGCCCAGGCTGGAGCAGGTTTGCTGGCTGGGCTTGTGACCCCGCGGGGGACCCAGGCTGGAGCCATCTGTGCCTGAAGGGCTGCACCCCAGGGAAGGGACCCACACTGGAGCAGTTCATGAAGAACTGCAGCCCATGGGAAGGACTCATGTTGGAGCGGTCTGTGGAGGACTGTCTGCTGTGGGAGGGAGCCCAGGCTGAGGGTGAGGAGTCCTCCCCCTGAGGAGGAAGGTGTGGCAGAGACAACAGGTGACGAACTGACCTCAACCCCCATTCCCCGTCCCCTTGTGCCACTCGCAGGGAGGAGGTAGAGAATACTGGGAGCAAAGTTGAGCCTGGGAAGAAGGGAGTGGTGGTGGGAAAGTGTTTTAAGATTTGGTTTTATTTCTCATTATCCTACTCTGATTTGATTGGTAATAAATTAATTTTCCTAAGTTGAGTCTGTTTTGCCTGTGATGGTAATTGGTGAGTAATCTCTCCCTGTCCTTATCTCAGCTCATCAGCCTTATGTTACATTTTCTCTCCCCTGTCCACCTGAGGAGGGGGAGTGATACAGCTGCTTTGGTGGGCACTTGGCATCCAGCCAAGGTCAACCCACCACAACCTGTAATTGTGAAGTCCACATAATATTTAAAAATGAAGATATTTTTTATGTAAGGATGTCACTGCTAGCAATGTATGTAGTAGTCTTTTCAATCGAAACTAAAAAGATTTTGATACTTAACAAGTACTTTCATCCTAGAAGAGCTGATATGAAATCTTACTTAACCTTGTGCTACAAATGCTGGTCTACACTACAGACACTGCTGTGGATATTTCAACTGATTTAAGAGTGACAAATAGACATGAAAGTTTCTTTTGCTGCTGAAACTCACAAGTAGTTAATAAATACCTAGCAGTACCTGTCTCCCATTTTTAAAATAGCCCATGATAAAGAAATGACTACTAAATAACAAAGAATCCTCCAAAGTTTTATGGTCCATAAATTTTAATATTTTTCAATAAAATACAAAACATTCCTCTGGAAAAACACTTGAGCAAAATAAAACATTCAGGCATAGTTGTTTAATCACATTTTAACATCCTGACATGGCAAGGAATTACATTTTTGAATAAACTGTTCAGGGCAAAAATAATCTCTCCTTTTTACTGTTAATAAAATGAAAAGCAATGTAGAATTCTCCATGAAGGTTAGTTTCTAAAATTCCTTTCCATTACCTATTGTCACCTTACCTTTTCTTTGATTACAGTTTGTTTTAGATGCCCAGCAGAGTCTCAAACTTTGGTAATTAGTTTCCTCATCACAAACCAAAGTTCTAGTTAAGCAGAAATCTATCACTGCAATTAAGAAAAAAAAAATCCAGTATTATTCCAAAATGATTTATCCTCATGGCAGTGGAAAAAATACTAGTTGATTTTGTGTTATCAGAAAGTTTCAAATCTTTGAAAGCCAATAAAGAGAACACTAGATTTATAAACAACCAGACCCAAGATACTCTGAATACTAAACAGAACTGCAAATAGATTTTAGCATAAATATAATAAACAGGTAGTGCAGATGACAAGCATTAAAAGGCAATAATTTCCACATTTAAACATTCTATATCAGAATTTGCTTATTTCAAAATTACTTGAAAATACAGTCAGAATGTGAATAAAAAGCTTAAGGTACTTCTGACACGAGGACTGATTCTGCTTGTTGCTGCATTTAAAATTATTTTTTCCCCCTCCAGTAAAGATTAAAACCAACATCCTAATCAGTAGCTCTACTATTTGTTCATATATTCAGATTTAAAACTGTTTTCTGTCATGAAAGAAAGAATCCAACAACTGTCAAAATTAAAATCCAACAGCAATCCTTTGTAAAATGGTGACATGTTGTGGAGATTTAGGCTAGCACAAGTAAGGCAAACATTATAAATACAGTGTATACACAATTACAAGATTTAGATGACTTACCATACTTAACATCAGGAACTGTTACAGAGCTCTCAGCTATGTTTGTAGATAGAATAACCTGAGTTTTGAAGCAAAAAATGAGCAATGAATGCAGAAAGAAAAAATTACTTGCTTCAATGTTTCTACATCAAAAAATCCAATTTGTTATGAAGAAATATAAATGTAATGGCAACATCGTATTTCTGCTCTGGATATTAAAAAAAGCAATACAACACAAGAAAACTTGTATTTTTCTTGTCCTAAAATAAAAAAAGCATAATAAAGTAGTATAGCATACGACAATATAGAGGAAGAATGGAAATCTTGCCTTATGCCTTTGTCATAACAAAACATCACACTATTAGCTGTGATAAAGAAAACCAATACACTAACCAAAATGTGGCGTACAAAGCAGGTGAGACATTGCCATACTGGGAGACTACTTTGCTATGCAGTGCCGCCAGCAGCATACTACTGTCATGCAGGTTCAAGAATGAACATGAAGAAACTATTATGAAGGATAAAAACACTGTCATGCAATAATTTAAGGGTAACTTCCTGTTATTGCACTTCTCTTGAGGTCTAAACACCAGTTAAAGCAACAGCCCAGCAAGAAAGGCAATCAGTTTACATCTTGAAAAAACAAAATTGCTTTGCTGTCACACAATGGTTTCAGTAGGCACAGCTAATATTAAAGTATATACATTATTATTTGCTATCATTACTCTAGCAAAAAAAAAAAGTAATGATTCAACAATATTTACTTTTCTGTAGCCAGGAACTGCAGTCAAAAATACATTACTTTGTTCCTCTAATGTCACACATGAGTGAAGTGGGTACACTTGCCACCTAAAGGAAATATGTTAGTGATATATTTACAAATGCAAGAACGTAAAAATTAATTACATCTCTGTACTAAGTCATATTATATACTTAGAACTCATACAGCAGAAAGATTTGTGTTCAAGTTTAACTGAACTGAAACTAATGTGGTCTAACTTACCTTTTGTTAAACATATTTGAGAGACATGAGTGCATGTACCTTATTTCGCTCAAACCTAGGGAAAAAATAATCAAGAGTTTGTTTTCTTTTTAGTGATCACTAACAATTGTAAAAACAATTCTCACATCTACTTAAATTCTTATTTGACTTTCATTATTACCTCCTTTTCAGTGTATAATAGAATAGCAGAAGAGTTACAGTAAATGTAACAATTAGTCACTGAAACACTGAGTGAATTTTTCAAGAGTAATTTTGAATAATTTTACACTTACTGAAGTGAAGGGGCAATATCAGATATAAAGGCCATCTGCCAGTGTCCCATTATTAGCCCTTGTTTCAGTTCCTTACAACTGACAATGCTGACCACGTGCTGAATGTCTGGTTTAGGATAAATTCAGGTATTTCAATCAAAACAAGCTGTTTCCAAGAGCAGGGCCAAGGGGGGGGAAAAAAAAAAACAAAACCAAAACACCCAACCACAAGCCAACACACCTAGCTATTTCTGCCTTAGCCATCTTATTTTTGGCAGTTCCAGTGCCCATTCTCTGGGACATGCATTTCATGTCTGTCAGGGGAAATCTTATGACTGAGGGATTTTTGGTGTTTTCCTGAGTACCTCCACAGGCATAAGCCTTTCTGAGAAGCCTAGTTTACCACTTATTGAGACTTCAATTCCAAAAGCCCCATTTTCAAAAATCTGTCCAACACTGGGCTTCCCTGGTAAGATATTGAAAATGAAAATATTCTGTAACTGCAGTACAGGATTGCTGCAATTTTCAGTGAGGCTAAATGCAGTCTGAGCACCTGCATGTGAAAGTTCTTGCACTCTTTAGATGACTTACTTGACTTCAAAAGCGAGAAGTGGAGGAAGAGAGATATTTTCAGGAATGATAAGAGAGAATAATAACTTAAATCAGAAATGAGAGGAAAGAAAGGTATGTGATGGGCTAGAAATCATGACTGAGCTAAGGTAAGCAAGGAAAAAAGGCCAGAAAGCAAGAAACTGGGGTAAGAAAAGGGGACATGATTTCAGTAGGAAAAATCCACGGTGATAACGCAAAGTTGGCTGGGAAAAGAAACTGCAGGAGGACACGGAGATGAGTCAACTACTGGAGTCAGAAAGACTGAAACTGGAAAATGAGGGGAAGTGACTCTAGGTAAGGGAGATAAAAGAAGTCGGGGTTGGGGGAAGAACAGGTGAGCTGGAAGAGGAAAAAAAAGGGGGGGGCAATCAAAGGGAAATTTAAAAGTTTCAGAATGTCCTTTGTGTGACCCTACCACAGGTGAAAGCAATGTCATTAACATCTAAAGACAGCCAGGAAGCCTAATTTACATTACAGCTCAAATGAAGTAAGAGAACTTGAGAATCCAAATAACTGGCCAAATAACAAACTAATGACTAGCACAATAATGAAGCAATTAACAAGGCTCTAAGCAAAACACCTACAGCACTGTAGAGAAAAACATGCAGACTGGGAAATACAAAAATAGCATCACTTTTTAAGATTATTATAATGCAGAAAAAAATGTGTCTGTTCATGAACTAGACTATGTAACCAAAGATACAGAGAAAATACAAGACACAGCCTGCCAGACCTACTTGATCCCACTCGGTACTGCTTGACTATGTAGCTGCCTAATGCTTCCTACTTGCCATACTGCCTGGTTACGTATCTGAGTAAGACATCAAGGCTTGAATCCAATTTATGTTTAAAACAATTAAAAGAAGTTTGATCTATGATTGGTAGAAGCAGACTCCACATAACCAACTGTAATAGTAACTATTAATCAGTCTAAAAATTACTGATGAGACACAGCAGGCAGTACCTGCTGTCCAGTTCTGGAAAGGACAAGAGTTGATCATGACACCTACAGAACAAAAGGCTGCCACCAGGAGAGACAGCTCTTGCAATGAAACAGTAAGTAGTAACAAAATCTGTTTGGCAAACATACCAGGACAATAAAAGAGAGTGGGGCATAGAGAAGTGCAAGACAAAACACAAAACAAAGAGATTGACACAAGTAGAACAGATAAAAGCTTAGGACAGTAACAGCAGAATCCCTCTAAAAGAAAACCCAAAAGCTTCTAGCTATGCAATTCCTGCCATCAGCAAATGCATGCAAAGCACAGAGAAAACAGGCCATCCCCATCTTCTGCAAGCTCCTGAAGAGGATGACAATCTACTGTTGCTTTCATTTAGCCCATCAGCTAGTCCAGCAGTAGCATGTTACATACTTGAAGGCGTAGCTTAGTGACGATTCAGCCAACAGAGCCCGACCTCTTTTTCCAATTTGTTCTTTTAAGAAGTCTAGAGAACTATATATCAACATATATGCTCAAGAAACATTAAAGTTGCCACGTCAAGCACACAAATGGAAGAAATGCCAGAATTAAGATTGGTTGTGCAAACTTAATGCAGCCCACTGGGAACATATTTATGTACATATGTTTAAAAAAAGAAATCACTGCACAGGTTAACATGGCACTTTGTATCACCTAGTACCTAGAGACAGACTAGCTCTGGAACCAGAGGAGAGCTGACTACTGAAGGATAATTATCTGTGAAGGATCAGATTCAATAACATTTAAAAAAAAAAAAGCACTGGAACCAGACAGACAATTACAACAGGAAGGGAAAACACAGTATCCTACTCGAGACAGCCGCAGCTGCTCTATGGAAGTGGATTCTGCCCCATCACTGAGTTCCACAAAGACAGTGGGGGAGAAAAGTCACTTAACAGTACTCCTCAGCACAGCACTACCCCTTCTGACTGCTGATGCCTACTCAGCTTGAAATGTCAATGGCAGTGTTGTTACGAATGTACAAAATGCTATGTAATTGTAAGCACTCAAAAAATCTGGGCATCTCAAATAAGTGGCCTAAATGGGGAGGTTATTTTTACCAAAATCTCTGCCCCAGCTGCCCTCTTGTAAACTTAGGGCTCTCCTCCTCTTTTCACCAGTTTGTATAAAGACTATTTGTGAAGAAAATTTCAAGAGGTATTTGCTAATCCTGTGTTCAAGATCAGTCTTGAGTATCCAATTATAAAACAGGCCAAGGTCAAACACTGAACAACAATAAAAACCAAACCTGAGTACCAGCTCATTCAGAAAGCACTATCTACACAGGTTTTCATGAATTTACCAAATGTATTTAAACAAAAAGTTTTATTTTAGCAGTTGCAGTTATAAGCCATCAGAGACAGCAGCACAGCAAAAAACACCTGAGTGTGAAAGATAAAAAAGGTTTGAGAATTAAAAGTGCTAAAGAGTAATTTCAGCCTGAAATGAAGACTCAGAGGGCCTGAGGAAGTCTGAAAGCATACCAGACAAACACCAATATGAGAGGCCAGAGGCAATAGAGATGGTCTCCCTACTTTACTAATGGCAAATTGGAATGGGTCCCACATTGACATGATGAAGTAATTCCTTCTACCCATTGATTTTATAGAAAGAGTAACTCCAAAGGTAGCTCTAATGCCTTTTAGCTGGTGTGGAGCACCCTCCACTGAGAGCTACTCTGCAAGTATAGTGCATTTTTGTGCTGGTGTGCTGTGTTTCCAGCCCTAGTGCTAGCATGTCTGCTGCTAAGCTCTACACAGCAGGGAAATTATATTCATAAATATTTTACAGAGAGTTAGAAAGTCCTGGTAGGGACAGACCTCACTGTGAGCAAGGAAACAGCTGCTCCTGACTCCGAGGTGACTCTCCACTTGAACATAACCAAGTCTTTTCAAAGTTTTCAACTAGCAAACTTTCACATCTATGAAGTAAAAGAATACATGAAACCATCCAGTTACAGGTTTCCAATGCTTGGGAAACCTAAATCTGCAGACTAGTTACACAAAAACTATTGTATGCTTTTGTTTTGGCTGTCATTCTTTCTTGAACCTCTTAGATAGTTTTAGTCATCTTTAAACAGTAGACCTAAATTATCTTATACTGCCTCTAAAATCTAGCTATAACCAGTTCTCTGATCATTAACTGCTATGTCATCATGCGTGCTTAGCGTTTCTAGTACACCAACCAATGTATATGGAAAGAAAAAAGTGAATTTTAACTTCTACAAGAAGAATCTAAATAAAGACTACACTATTTGCAGATTAGAAAATGTCTCTAAGAGAATCCTAGGAACTACATACAATATTTAATAACTAATCTAAAAAATTAAGCAACTGAATTTCTGTGGATTTTTATTACTGTAACTTCATTTTTAATACATACAAAGTCTTTATCTTTGACTCACAGTTCTTCCAACTATTGTCATATTTAAACAAGTTTGCATGAAAAATACCCAACTAGACCAATCAACCCCAGTTAAATATGTGTTTAATATCTCCCTGGAAGAAGTGTCAGAAGAAAGGTCGTTAGATGACAAATAATCAAAAAGAAAGTTATTAGGATGTATACTCACCTGGTAAAAATACTAACACGCTTCCACGTTCTGATACAACACTCATGTTTTTCTCCCTAAAAAGAATATGCAGTTTCATTAGTTTCACAAGTCCAGTCTACTTTATCACCCCAAGTTATTTTATTCTGAAAGAACAAGCAGGACTGCACACTTTTTGTAACATGTATTATTTAAACTTCCTGAAGAAACGGAATTCAAAACACTATTCACAACTATGCTTTCTAAAAAACACAGTACATAAACATTGGAACCAGATCATTAGGTTTAGTTTTGTCTTCAAAATTATGTCAAAACAGAAACATTCTTATTTAGCAATGAAATTAATCAAAATTAGGTTAGCAAAGATCTTGAAATGATAATGTAGTATACTACTGCAGAATTCTATGCAAACATTCAGTAATTTGTCAAGTATATGTAATACTCTTGTGTTCTAAAAATATCACTAGACACCTTTAACAAAAGCCTAGCATGTAAAAAAATGAACCATTATCAAGAACTACAGGTCATGACAAAAACTTAGAGGGAAACATCTTTAATTAATCTGTCACAAGTCAAGAAGCTAAAAATCACCTTAACATAATATGGAACTCATTTTTTTTGTTATAATCATTACTGATGTAAAATTTTTTCAGACATCTTAAGTCTGTACTCTCAAACTACACAGGGAATGGAACGCATAGTTTTTAACAGAAGGTACATAACAATGGATGTTCGTAATAGCCCTTTTGGTATTTAAAAGCTGAAATGCTAATGCCTTCATGTTTGCTACTAAAAGGTAGCCTATTAATAAAAGGTAGTTTAATTTGGCTATTCTAAACTACAGTAAAACAGCTTAATTGAAAAGATCAAAAGAAATCATCAAGAAAAAGGCTCAGAAGTCACTATATATTGTAAAAAAGTTAGGGCCAAATTTTTTTGTATTTTTGTACCTCTATCAACACTTGTAGTTCAGTGGTTCCCTTGATAACTGCTCAGGTGAGCTTAAGTAATGCTTTCTTAAAATTTCAAAGTTTACATAATACTAAATTTGAAAAAAAAATTAAGCTCACAAAACAAAATTATTTCTTCAGCATACATTTATGAATGATTAGAATATATAGGAAAAAAACACATTCCTAAATATGCCCTCACTGTTAGACCAAAGGTGGAGAAGCAACTTTACTACATTTTCAGATACTAAACGTCAATTTACAAAACACTAAGAGTTAACATAAATTAATATTTACTTATTTCAAAAGACAGCAATGCACTCGTTAAAGAGCCAGTGAAAATTAACACCTAGTTTGTATTCTTTTCTCATGGCTTAATGTATGTTTTAATTTACAAAATAGTAGTTCTGGTTTTATTCTTCATATAAATAATATTCAGCTCTTGTCAACAGCAAAGAATCTAGATTCCATATGACATAGCTGGCCACTCCAGGGCATGAAGTGTATTTCAAAAACACAGGGCATTCAGTAAAGCCTACAAGTAGTCTTAGTATGACTACACTGAGTAGAAATCACATGAATATATAAAACAAAAGCAGAGATGCACAGATAATTAAGGTACCACTAATAACTATAATACATGGGCTGCTGCTGTTCCTTAATTAGTGTCTCACTTCCCCAAAGAACCAATGATTGCAGATCTTGAACTGTATCTTACTTATTGCTCTTCATCTCCAACTCATCAAATGACTGAATCAAAGACACTGCTACTTCATACATTTCCCTTACTATCACTGGTTCTTCAATTCTTTGAGAAGGAAGCTGTGTGGAGAAGAAAGTATTGAGGTTAACACAGTATAACAGGCTAAAAGACTGTAGATCACATGCATGTGTCAATTTGTCAAGTGCTTTTCAACTAAAACTGATCCAGCACAGAAACTGTACAAAGTAGTACCTTAGTCTGGAATATTCATTATCTTCTAAATAGATATTTTCCTTCAAGCATCCTACCATTCTAATGCTAAAGAAATACTTCTGATATTTACCTACTTAAGATAAGCACTAGCCCACACCCCATGCCCTAAAATTTGCAGGAGATACTTATCCAGATATTCCTTATCCAGAAGTGTTAAGCACATGAGACTAACCACAACCCATGGTAACAAGATTACAAGGAGAGGAATTTGTACAAGCCAGGTACAGTCCTTCTCACAGGTGCTAAAATTAAGGTCTCTCCCTGATGGCCAAATAAATCCTGTACCTCTTTCTCATTTAAATTGTCTTCGCATTTAACGGATCTTGTGTTTCAGGTCATACTCTGTCAAAGAACTATGGCTCTGTTGTACACAATATAACCATGATGATTCTGTCCACACTGTTTCTCAGCATTCTGTCACAAACTCGGGGCTTTAATATTTAAGAACACAAATCATCAAGTCTTCAAAGCAGAGACAGTAACTTAATCACATTTCAGTTCTAAAAAGAAAATGCTTAATGAACTAGACATGCTCTGGGAATGGTCTATAATATTGCACATTTTTCCCTTGCAGGCAAAATAGCTTTTGATCATTGCTCACCTTTCACTCTCAGGGTTTCTCCTCATTCTAATGGAAAGTCTTTACTGGACTAACAGCTATCTAACTTTTCTAGACTTGTATTGCAGTGTAATCCGCCCTCCACATACTTCACACAATTAGAAATTCTACAGTCAAGCTGCACTTCTCTCCCTCCTGTTATGCCTTCGAAGTTCTTCCCTCTTCCCTCCCTCCACCCTAAAGTGAAATATTTTATTTACTTTTATGCTGAAATCTAACAGTTAAAGTCATCCAAGATCTTCCCAAGAAAACTAATAGGTTCAAGTGATCATGTGTGTGTATGCTTTAAGAAATCATGTATTTTCTCACTAACAAACCTCCATTTTTACGTTTATGCTCAACCAGGTATTTTCCCTAGCCTGTCAGTCACCTTCACCTGCTGCTTGATACACTACATTAGTATTTTATTATTCAAAAACAGCTTTATTTAGGCTTGGACTTCTCATTTTTACTTTTGAGGTTTTACTGTAATTGAAGCAACTGTGAAAACTGAGCATTTGTGCTTTAAGCATAACACTCCGTAAGAACTGGTCCATACGGTAACAATAAAAATGTAACAGTCAGTAGTAATTGGTAAGTACATGCAGATAAATATCAACATAAGATAACATGCAGCTGTAGCCAGGGGCTTTTAACAAGGATCTAAAATGTAGGGAAAAAGCCACGCTGGGAAGAAACTGAAAATGCAAGCTTAACAGCCAAGAGAAATACTTAAGGTTTCTATACATAAAACTAAGATATTCCAGGTTTCCCTGTAAAAGCAACAAAAGGTATTTATCAATTGTCCACATTTCACAGAAATTTGTTTTTATTTTAATCAAGCATAAAATTAGAATTACACACTTACTCCAATTCAGTTATCATAAGGAAAAGAGGATTCTCCACAAGCATTCAATAAGCAAAAAACCAACTGAAAATGTATACTGATAAAGTTGGAATGCATCATATGTGTACCAATAAGAGCATCATTCACATAATGCATCCTTCAATTGTCTGAAGTGAGATGAAATCCACTAAGACAGTGTGTAAACCTATGCATCTGAAATTTTGGATACAAGCAGATGGTATATTGGCTGAAAATAAAGAACCACCACAACCAGCTACTTTGATCATAAGAAAACAGCTATCTTCCAGTGTAATGCTGCTGAAAGGCAAATGTGACCCCAGGTCAGGAAAGGTCATTCTAAGAGCACGATCTGTTGGTGACACTGTACAGAACTGCTCCTCACTCTGAAGTGACTAAGGTCTTGTCAAAGTTTTCAGCCAGCATTCTTGCCAGTCTTTGAAGTAAAAGAATTCTTGAAGCCAAGAGGTACTCAATTTGTGATGCTGGGGAAACTGATGGGGACTGACAATACATCTGCAATTCTTACCAGGTTTTAAGGCAATCAGCAAAAACTTGAACAGAAGCAAGTTATGAAAACTTCAATGACCAAAAGAATGAAGAGACTTTCTCGTAAAAGGCGAATAGCAAAGACTTACCTAACAAAGCAAAATGAAAGCCAGAAGGAGGTATTACTGCTAACTATAAACCTATCCAAACAAAAACCACCCCAACAGTTTTGGTTCTAATGTGTCACAGTCTCCCAATGTGTTCTTGGGAGAAAAGGCAGAGGAAGTAGAAGTGTCCTTTCATTTGCTTCCTTCCCAGCTCCAGCACTGAGACTGCATACCCAAGTTCAAGGTCCAGTGCCAAGACATTAACCTGATCCAAAATTTTACCTGCAACTGTACACATTTCACCTAGCATCGAAGTTTCAGAGAGCTAAAACCACAGAAAACTGATCTAAACTAACTATCAAAATTAAGTTAGCTATTTTTTCTACCAGTCCCTGTCTGAAGGGGCTCACAACAGAATCACAAAAGCACTACTGCTAGCACCAATTTGGCAACACTGACTTAGATCAGCTTTTGTTACTGCAACCTCAGTCCTTGGCTTTCCAACCCTTACCGGAACAGCCAATATGTACAATACATCAATCATGTCAACCCTAGGTTGCCTTGGTGTTTGCAGAAAGACTCCACCCTGAAAACCCTGAGAAAATTATCCTACTATCTTCTGGTAGGAGATGGATCGGAGGATCAAAGAGAGTCATCTGTACGAACTTGACAATATTCTTTGCACTTCTCTGACCCCTTGAATCAACTAGCCACACAGACTTTTCAGTTGTACAACTCTGTCAGTCCCAGAGCCTCTTAACTGCATTTTACGCCCACTATAGTAATGCTTTTCCAATGAAGTTTGATTAGTCCAATGGAAATCACAGACAACGTTCTAGTAGTTTGGAGAAGTAGTACTTTTTTTCCCCAACTTATGGACAATCTAACGACTTCATTTTTTTCTGGGTTGCTCAAATATAAGATTTTGGGTTTTAGATTATCCCTACTGAAACAACTGTCAAATTTGTCTTTTCAATTTTGTTACCCATTGTACCTTTAGTACTCTTTAACATGACAAGGCTTGCACATCACTCCTAATAAAAGGTAACGATGTGACAAACAGCAAATCCAAAAACCCAGTCAGAGCTGACTGGAATAATGCAACATAATCAGAATAGCTTTTGACAGCAGTTCACTACCTTTCATCTGGACTCTGACTTCAGTTCCAGGGATATAAAGGAGTTTTCACATTTGCAAGCCAAAAAATGGGACTCTGTTTTTTGCCTTAGGTAATAACTGGAGACATGGAATTTCACAGATTTACTGCCAGAACAATGTGCTTACAAAGCCATTATGCCAAAAGAAAAAGAAACAACTTTTTATAAACCTATACTCAAAAATTAAACAGTAGCACCTATAAATGACCCAATATCTAGGCAAGGGTAAGCCAGTGCTACACTGAAGAAGAGTGTTTCTCCCTTCTTTCCCTCTAATTTTTATTCTTTCCTACAAATGAATCAATTCAAGTGGAAAGCTTTATCTTTGATTCAGCTAGATGTCTATCTAGGCATATCAAAGGATTTACTGCAAACAGGCATACAGAAGAAAAAAATAATGACTGGTATTTCTATTTAGTTTCCAAATCACAATTGATATCAGTGAATTCCCAAATTATCCAAGCTAGAACTGCTCAAAGAAAATTTTTATTTTCAAGTATAGTTTAAAAACATTATCACCTACAGGAATGAGTGACATATTAAAGCCAAGAGCTCTGCAGGATTCATAAAAGAATTCTACATTTATACGGAAACACACAATTATTTTAAGACTTTTTGAGAAGGGACAAAGGTTCATACCTCACAGCAAATTAGACTGCTACAAAGGACTAAACTGATTTCAATCAAGATGCTTGAAAGAATGAGTTATGATTTATGTAATCTAATTTTATAGTTATTCATTTTAAAATCAAAAGGAAACTTGGAAAATTCTGTTTATCTAAAAATTAAAGACTGTTTTTTCTTTTAACTTCTGTATTTTTATGTGAATTTTACAGACTTCTATAGGCAAAAATAAAATATTAAGAATTAAAGCCTGAAGCCAGTACCTCAGGCAGTTATCTAACTGATTTTGATTTTAGCATGATGAAAGATGTGCCCCTGCTTCCATATGGCCGCGTTAACTCATTAACTGCCTTAACATGCAGGCTCTGCTTTCATTTTTATTAGGATGTTACATAAACCTTCTTAGACCTTCCACATTTAAGTATTTTTTAAATAAAACTACTATTCAGAGAAAATGTCCACACACAGCATCATAAGAAACAAGATGAGAGACCAAACATCAGTGCTTTCTAATTCAATTTCTTCTTCTTTTTTTCATATATAGAAAAAAAAGGAAAATCAAGCACTTATGTGCTTCTATTGTTGCCCTAAGGCACAAGTAACTTCTTGGCCAATCATACTCTTCTCCTCCTACTGAACAACAGAAGGGCTATAGCTAGGACAACACAATATAAAGAAACATGAAAACTTTAAAAAAACCTCAAAGCTAAATGCTCGTATACACAAAGAAAATTAAAAACAGAAAAAGGCATAAGCACTGAAAGCAGTTCCTTTTGTTCGTGATCTTTGAGGTGAAAGGTGTGGCAGCTGACGTTCAGCTCAAAGTGCAGCTATGACAAATGCAACTTGACTGAAGCAGACTTCTTACTGAATTTCTTGGTTATCTTTTTATTGTCATCTATCATCAAAATTCTTTTACAACAATCATATATTATATAATCTCCTCCACGTTATCTGAGCTGCTGTACTAATGTATAAAAACTGACCGGCCAACCGCTATAAGCATTTAGTTTATTTTTTTGGTTGCATTAAAACTTCAACAGTTGACAGCCTTTTATTTCAGCTTGCCTGTGTTGAGGTATAACCAATGCCTGTGCTGTGTACAGCATAAGCAATTATTTCCTTCTGAGTTTCCCCATAAACTACCTGTTTGTTTTATTTCTCTAATTTAGTTTCCGCAGAATGGAGAGATGAAAGCTAAATAGTAACAGTATGTTCACACACTACTACTTTTTAAATGCATCCCCCATTCTCTCCATTGTATTGACATTATTAACAGTGTTCTGAATTATCAAAATTGATCAATAATTACTCCCACGCCCATTATTTTTAGAATGGTTGTCACTATTAATGCCTGAGTGCATTTGTTCTACTTTGCTTTAATCTGTTTATTTTGCCTTGGACCACAATACTGAAAGAGTTCAGGTACTCAAGTAAATTCCTACATCTCTGTTTTTCAACTGCAAACCAAACTCCTATTATAAAACCACAGATACCAGAATAATTCCAACTTACATTTATTCCTTCATTATCTGTTGTCTCTGCAGACACATGCTGTAACAGTAGTATGTCAAGAGCTCTACAAACAAATATACTGTACAGTTTATAAGCTAAAGATTGACACAGCAAATGAGCCTTCAGCCACTACTACTTAGGCAGTAGAGCAGCAATTCTACAGCGCAGCTATATAAGCTGTTAAGTGGTCACTGGCATTTGGTGAATATCCATTATACTAACACAGTTTCATCACTCAAAATTACATATTTGCCATCGTGGCCTACATGGTTACAACAGAAATATGTTCAACACTACTGCATAACAGCTCTGAAACTATTAAAAAAAAAAGAAAAAATAGGACGCACATGAGCCTCAGATGACAGAGAAGCCAACTTGATAACATCAAACTTATGATTAGAAGTGCTTCCTTTCTGATGACTCTCTTCATTTCCTAGCTCTTTCTGCCTTTGATACATAACAGCAACATGAACCAACCCAGGAAATACTCCCCAAGTTTGTTAGCTGTATTGAAAGAGATTGATAAATCCTCATATGTTACTTTCCACAGAGTTTTACCTTGTTCATTTTGGATGCAAGCTACCAAACAAAATGCCACATACTACTAAAAATTCCCAGTCGTTCACATTCCATTTCTGTTACACAAAACAAAAACCAGGCTGCTGGTAAGGAGACTCATGTTTTATCATCATATATTAATTCTTACCTAGGACTGTGATGTAAAATCAGTTATTTGTAATTTTATTACACAGCTTTCAACTGACTATTCCAATTTCTTTCTTACTATGTCCAAAGAAATAGTTATGTTTACAATACCTTGAAACGAACAGTGTGCTTCAAATCATCAAGATAATATTCTTTGATTGCATAAGATTTGCCTTCCACCTTAAATACACAGGCTGGATTCAGACAGTTATGAACTGAAAGTGCAAAGTAATCAGCAAATTCTTCACAACTGATGGAAGCAGACATCAGTATTACCTGTTAAAAATTTGCACAGCAAATGTAAAACATTAGTTTTAACACAAAATGTCATGCTATGCTGGAATCTCCATTTATTCTTTATGCTAAAATTGTCTAATTTTGGTTACAACAGGTATGTGTCCTAGCCACATTTATGACAATCAAATCTAAATGCTTAAGATTACATAGGTAGCATATGGAGGAAAGGTAAGCATCTGTAAGAGAATGGCTAGATGCCTAGGGCAGACAATGCAAAACACCTTTTCCTGCGGTAAAAGTTCAACCTAAAAACATATAGTACTCTTCCTGAGGCTTATGATCTCTACATGGTCCTCAAAAGAAAAAAAAAAAGGTATGCTGAGTATTTTCAACTCCTGTTTCACTAAACAGATTAGGTATCAGTGCCTTTAACTCCATCAAAAGATGGGCTTACTCCTGTAAGACCAGTAACTTTAATTATAACCCAGCCTTAAAAACGTTACTGTAATGATTTTGAAATGTGTCAAATAAGTTTTCTCTCAGTTTCAATTAATTTATGCAACTTAAAACTCTCAAAGGATCACACTAAGCTCCTCGGTCTGTTTACTGACTCTCCCAAGATCCTTAACCTGTATTCACCTAAACAGAAGAAGAGAAATCACATTTGCTATCTGGTGACACCTTTTGTTTCAATTATTATGAAATTCAGAATTTACAGCTTTGTTGTTTTCTCCCTGGTTAGACAGCATGGTATGTGGAGAATGGAGGAAGGAAGAAGAGTGAAGTAACTTAGTAGCTATGGTTATTTGCCCTCTAACCCCTCTATTTGGAACATGCTCCCACTGCTCAGCACAGCCAGCTGGAATAAAGTAGACAGCTTCAACTTGAAAAAGGACAAAGAGACAAGGAGTTACAATGAACTGTGCAGTGTTCGGTTTCTTTATCTTCAGGTCTCCTGAGCCACTCTAAGCAGTACTTGTAAACTGGGACATGGTCAGTCCTCTTTTGCTTTCCTGACACCTTGCACGAATTCAAAAATAGAAATAAAGACATGAACACCTAAAACAAAAATGCAATGAAATACAAGAGCACCTCCCTTATGAAGTGGCAGGTAGACAAGCTAATGAAGTGGGCATTGTACCACTGTGCTCAGCTCCAAAGCAATACATGAAGAGGGCAGACTAAATCATGAAGTCATTTAACATGATCCTGAATGGAGGAGAAGTCTGGAAGGACATAATTCTGCAAATATTACATGAAATCTGTCCCACTACAGCGTGAACCGCCTCATTGCTCAACAGATAGTGGCTCACCTATGCTAGGAAAATAGACTAAACGTAACTTTGCCTGAAGGTTATTGAAACAAAATTCAATCTAAGTTATCCTAACCGCTGTTACAGGCAAAGAATATTAAATTATCTCTTCTTCTAGACAATCTTTGTAATTTGCACTCTGTGATCTGCATGGAGTCCTTCCAAACTGGAAGGAAAATCATAGGTTCCTAACAGAGTGCCTGAAGGATTACATTACTAAACCAAGGGTCTGATCTACTCCCAATGCAGAAATTCAACAAGCATGTATCACCAACATGGCAGAGGAACATACTGGAATAGAGGGTAATCGAAGCAGACACTTCAAGATCAAGCGGTCCAAAACCACTTGTGCAGCATGGATATGTCTAAAGCCCTACCAGATGATACCAAAAATATGCATAGTAACAACTACCCACTTCAGACGTCCCTGAAAGGCAATTTGCTAGAACCTGGAAATATGACTATCTTTATCCTGTCCTTTCTTTCCTACCTAAGCAGCTGTTACTAGTCACTACTGGAAATTGCACTGTTTGGTCTGACCCAACAGAGTCACTCTTACAGTCACGGGTTTTCTTGCAACAACCCCATCCCAGTAAGATGAACCTTAGAACAGTCAGTCAAACGTCTGCTCTGTGATCTAAAAGCAATAATCTGCATCAGCCATCTGCCAGAAAACTCAGCATAGTTGGTTCGTGAACCACAACAGGTAGATCTTGTCCTCCATATCTTAGAATCACTCTTGGCATCCTGTGAGTTGATGCAATGTTGAATTATCTGCTACTTCTGAGGTCTGCAATGTCCAGATTAGGAGACAAATACCTCACATGTATTTCATATCACCTTGAATTATAAACACATTTTTTCCCCTTAAATAGGCCTCCTTGCACTCTTTTGTTTCACGAATCCAGGGGGGCTGGGAGGAGAATCTTGCGTTTTCTAAATGACTTTGCCATATGATCAAAGCTCCCTTCTTTTACAGTTTTTCAAAAGGGGCTAAAAAGGGATGAAGTAGGAGACACTGGGCTTAGTGTATAGATTCAGACTGACTTATCTGTTCCACTCTGCTAAACCCAGCAATTGAGATCAAGAGTTCCCCTCTCCACCATAAAAAAAATTTTCAAAGGGACACCCCCTCATCCACAAATCTAAGACCGTCTCACATTTACACAATATGAAACTGTCATCTGAAGAAACAACTGCAGAGAAGGATATAAAGGAAATAAAGTTTTCCAGTGACAATTTTGAGAGATTTAATCAGAATTACAGAGGAAAAAAAAAATCATCTTTCAGAAACCTATAAAAGAAAAATGTTTTGTAACAGAAAAGATGATAGGACCTCTAAGGATTCCTGCAATTGACACCAACCAGATAATCAGCATCAAGGGCAAACTTTTCACAAACTGAGTATGATCAAATTATTCGGTACTCTCGGTAGGCAGAGCCAAGTGCTCAGAAAGGCTGAATAGCTTTACGCTACTGTCTCTGAATTTAAAGACAAGTGAGTTTTCTTATCAGCAAGAATAGGGATAAAAGGTAAAAAGTTGTGAAGTGCAGAGACATGCCCTATGCCAACTGGAAGGGCACTTATAGCGAAAGCATGTTTGGAGGATCTAAAGACCAAGTTATCTGAGTTTGAGTCAATGCAGTGCATCATACTGAAGAACACAGATTCCCTTCCAATACCAAAAAAAGTAGCAAATGTAGACTCAAGTTATGTCTGCTTTGAACAAAACAGTTCACGTTAACCAAACAATTAGCTGAAGCACTTATGGGACACTTACAGTCTTGCAAAATTTCTGCAGTCCCAAATAGTTGCACAGAAACATATCGAGTTAGCCTAACTCTATCACTTGTATTTAATTTCTTACAATTCAAGAGTTCATTACTTCGAGACCACAAAGACTAAATATGTTATTGTAGATCTCTGCAAACTCTGCTTTAGCACAAAGCACAATTTCCTAACTTGCAAAGGAAATTCTCAGCCACGTTTTACTACCAGTTGTGCCTAGAAATTACAATACAGCATTTCTGGTTTTTTGCTATTTTTCCAAAAATGTTGTTCCATTTAAAAAAAAGCTCAGTATTGCCAAGAGTTAATGCTACCATATTTAACCAAGGATGAGCACTGCCCTCAATACCCAATATGTAATTCTAGTCAAATATCCATCTTGCATTTTTTAGCCTTAAGCAGACTTTAGAAACTAATGCATTTTAACAGGAGGAAAAAAAAGTCTCTCAGAACACATTATAACAGCTGGGAAAAGAATGCCCTTTAGCTTGCTTGCTTATGAAGAGTGGAAAACTAAATAATATTTTAGTAAAAAAATAATGACACATTCATGGTAAGTTCTTTAAAACATACCCTTTGTAGATCAAAAACATGTAAAAATTTATTCTTGCAAGAAAAAGTAGCAGAATATATTTTCAACCTACCTTTACAGACTGTGAATTTGTACGCAACAGTTTACGGATCACCAAGAGCAAGAAATCCATTTCTTCTGTACGCTCATGCACCTGGAAGACATTATCCACAACTTAATTTTCATTAATTCATGTTCTTCTTTTTGACAATCTCTTCCTTCACTACTCAATTTCATGTTTTATTTTTGTAACCTTGTAAGAACAATACATTTTCATAGAAAAAACCCACACCTTTTAAGACTATGCATCTTAATCACATTTTAAAATCCCATCACAGCTGTTCAGATGACTACAGCTCCGTATGACATATGCCACTATTAAGTCATGAAAATTGTAGAATAATGACTAGAAAACCAATAGTGACTAGTTCTACTAGAGTTGGCAGTAACAGCCGAAGCAATACTGAAGTTGGGTAAGGCAATTGTACTGGTAAGATCACAAATGATCCAGGCAGGGACTACATTGGCTTGTCTAAAGCTAAGCAAATATATAGACACTTGTTGTTCCCAATGGCTTCTAGCTATGATCAAGATACACAACTGCTTTCTAAAACATTATTTTTCAACCAATTCTTCACATATCCTACCACCTGACTTCTCTGACTGTTCGTTGCAGTTCAATAAATACTCCTTCTCAGCATTATCAGTGATGATCATATCCCTTTCTTGAATCACAGTTTAAATATACTAAGTGCAGCAGTGTTTTCCGGAGCTCAACCTTCAAAGATCAACATTCATCCCCATAAAGTAATTAGCATATTCTTAGCATATTCTAACATAATAACCCTAAAATATTTATATTCAATACTGCCCAAATACAAAAACAATTTAGCTAAGGCAATTTTCAGGCTGCCAGCAAGGTCTTGCTGTGAGAAGTCGTGATTTTCAGATCTAGGTTTGTCTAGGTATGCTCCTAAATGCCCAGAGTACTTCAAGAGGGCTGGGACCTGCAATTAAGAATGCAGTGGAGAACATGTGTTTGTTAAAATGGTTACTTTTGAGTAAAGATTACAGTCTGTGAGGTAGATGTGGGGGAAAAAGTGGCATATGGGGAACAGGAGGGACTAGTATTTTGGCTGGGGAAGCAAAAGACACATACAGTCTTCAAAGCTCAGAGCTGCTGAATCAAGTGGTACAAGCTGATACCATCAGTTCAAATTACAGCACCCAAGTAAACAAGGTTTGAAAAATCTCTGTATAAATCTGCTGTCCCGTGTAAGGGGCCAAAAAACTTCACTCACTAATTAATAATTTTTAAAACCAAAGGAATGATCTAACACTTCTCTATATATGCATCTTCTGTTGTTAAACATTTGCATCTTACATCTAACCCACATCTCTTTATATTTGGCTTAAAAATGTTAAGGTTTGCAAGATTCTGCTAATATATTAGAGTGGTCTCAAATCCTTCCCATTACGACAATTGATACAATTCTTTAGGATTTGGGGTTTTTCTTGTTCTTTTGTCTGTTTGAATGAAGTCCTAAAGTTTCTTCATACAGAAGTGCAACTATTTGCTCAATCTCTTCCAGGTTTTCAATGTGCCATTTCAAGTGCAGTCATAACAGCCTTCATTATTACTGTAACAGTCTAATGGTATACCAAGTACCGTCTCCCTGGCTCCTCAAATATCCAAGAAACAAAGTCACTCTCAGCTACACCACCATATTGGAATAAAAATTAAAACCAGCATAAAAAACAAAAAAACAAACTGTTAAGTCCTCTTTTGTGTCACTACATCCCAAGATTTAAGTCTCACATCTTACATGTGATTCACATTCATGGTTTGTGAAAGCACAATTTCACATGTGACTATGTTTAACAAATACTGCCTACCACAGAAAATAAGTATAAAAACATGTAAAAATACACAAATTACAAAAAAAAACCCTAAAAATATATTTTCTTCAGCTTTTTAGTGAAGTGACAGTAATAATAATGAATCCACATGAGTGGGCTGTAAATCCATCCAGAAGATGGAGAACTTTCAGAGGACTACTTTATTTTTCAAAACATCCCTGAAGAGGAAAGACTCTTTCTAGGGGCAGTAACAGAGAAGTGAGTAAAAACTAGCTGCCTCCTCCTAATAGGCCTAGCCAGACACATTCTTGAAATTCACATGGTGGATTTCAGAAAACATTTCAGGCACTCATATCAAAAGCTAAGCACCCCCAAAAATCCTCCCCACACCCTCAGTTCTAAACTTTGTTGCTCAAAGGATCACCAAGGCAAGCCTATTTCAACAAGTGTTAACTTAGACAACTTATACAAAGCATCTTTACAAGTACATGTCTGCATTTTTCTTTCTCTGGCATGGAAAGAGACAAAAGAGAAGGCAGCTCTCCTAATATGAAATTTAAACTTATTTCCACCAACTTACTTCATCAATAAAAATGTGCGTGAATTCAGCTAGGCTTTTGGTACGAACGATTTTCTGAAGAAGAACTCCAGTTGTCATGTACAGCAACCTTGTCTCCTTTGTGGAAATTTTCTCTAAACTTACCTAACACAGTGAGAAAAATAATATAGACAGGAACAGGTATTTAATATATTTACAGGAACGTGCATCTGAAAGATGAAAATGAAATATAGCATAAACGCATTAAAATTATTCACTCAACTTTGTACAAGCCTCTGTACAAATGAGTTCTTAAAGCCCAGAACCAGTTAACCACAAACATTTTCTTTGGGAGAAATTAAGAAAAAATTAAAATCCCTGAAGTTTATAAAGGATCAAAATTCCTTGCTGGGGACTCTAGCCTGAGAAGAATTCTTCAAAGGCTTTTAAAAGTATACACATGGATCTTTCCATTAATATACAGAGCAAGAAAAAGATTTTGCCAAAATACAGTTTGCTTACTGGACAGAAGAAAAGGAAAGTGATACAAGATATCACCAAGACCAAGTAACTTATTCCCGAGAGGAATGCTCTACAACTTTACGTAAAATAGTAGATTTTTGATTTCTAAAATATTTCTGTAACTTCAGCTATCTCAGGTGCTACCTACCCAGACAGGTAAGCAGAACCATGACCATCTTTCACTTTCAGCTCTTAAAACAGCCTAGGGCAAATGAGTCTATACTCAATTGCTCTACTTCCATTTCTGCTCAGTTCACACAAACACGTGTAAAACAAGCACAGCACATCCACATACACTGTCCTGAAAATAGTTTGGAAGCACACCACCATCTTATGTCTTTAAAACTCATTAGCTTAATGAATCAATTTAGCAATTTTATGACTAAATAATTCAAGGGATCAAATAATGTAAAAGACTTTATGTACAAACTACTTTGGAAAAAAAAACCCAAACAAATATAACCCACAGTAATTCTACAAAATGATAACTGGAGGTTATTAATATTGGCTTAGTTAAAATTTGAGATCATGTCAGATCATAATTTTCACAGAATTATCTGGAGTGTTCACCTCTCAGAACTGAAACTTCCTAATTCAGCATAAACAGTATTTTTACTTTGTCCTCCAATCTACCTGTAGAAAAATTCTACTTCAGTTGTGTTTCAAAAAAAAATAAAATATTTTTTCCTACTAGGGTGTTTGCTGTAGAGATATCAAAAGAAACCACTAAGATTTGATACTTAGAGAAAGAACAGCATTCAGTAGGGATGACAATAAAGATCCTTTTGATGGGAAAATGAAGCTGATCCTTCTTCATAGCCCTATAATATGGTATTGCTGTTACTAGTAACAGGCTGTAAGCTTTGTACCGAGTCTGCAAGGCCTCAGGACCAAGGCATGTCAGGCCTACTCTCTTGGAACTTTTCTTGATCTGCCTTCACCTTTGCTTTACTTGGTCTAGTTGTGACAGCAATCTAGTGTAGAGATATAGAGGCCTCGTACAGTAGCAGAGACCTTGGGAAGTGGAGACACAGAAGAAGCAGACATGGGATAATAGATGAGGCAGAAGCTTGGCACTGTAGACCCCATGCTATAAACAATGCTGTAACAGTCAGTTAAAAATAAAAACCCCTCAGACCTGGAACTGGACAAAATTGGTTTTACGGGTAACAAAAAAAATATCTAACATACATAAATGGCAGCACACATAGTACATTTCGAAGTAACCTGGAGCTGCAGACCAATGAAGAAAAAGAAAGCTGTAAATGCATGTTAGCAAACATATATACATACGACCCCAAGTGGAAGAAAGAAAGGAAGAAACAAGAAAAAGAATGAAAAAGAGAAGAAGAAACCAACAGATATGCATCCCAGCAAAGGACTCCAGAAGCAGACAACTCTCCCTGAATATCCTCCCACTGCCAATACCAGTGTGAACCCACCAGCCTTAGGATCCAGAGAAGCTAGTCTAGAGACAGCTATTGTCAAACTACCAGGGAAACAATGATCACAGCACTTTATTGTGGTTACTGACAAAGAGCTGATTAAAGCATCAGTATCTGTGTCAAAAAACTAGTTCAAATTTTTCACATGTTAAGAAGAAACAACAGGATGTTCACGAAACAATCTGGCCTTAAATGCATGAAAGTTTTGACATAGCTGACAGGTAAATGCAGTAAAGTCAAACAAATCAAGTATGTTAATTAAGGAGTTTAAAGGAAAAATGGCAGAATATAGTTCTCCTGCAACAATTTCAGTGATTAATAATATAGATGTGTCCAATTATCACAACGCAGACAAATATTTCTGTTGGAGTCTCGCTAGCATTTATATTGCTCAACTTTAAAAACTTAAACACTTCATTATGAATGTTTAAGAGGAGGCAGCTAGAAACCTGCAATTCCACTTTAAAAGCAGATTCTCTAACATTTCTTCAATATACTAGATATGCTTAAAAGTAATCAAGAAGGAAGATAACAGTAGTTTTTAATGTATTTTTAAAGACAATTTGAAATTTTCTTATACCTGGTATCCTACAAGTCCACCTAGTGTCCACGATCGTTCCTTGCTAATCCACCTGGCAATGCTGCTGGCACCAATTTTCCGAGGCTGAGTAACAGCAATGTTGCAGTAGATAGATTGCTGAATGCAATAATCCAAAATATATTGTGGAATCTGTGTGCTCTTACCACTGCCAGTTGCTCCTTGTACAATCACAACCGAATTGCTTTCTATCAGAGACACTATCTGAAACAATTTTTCAAGAAAACTCGTAAGTCTACAAAACACTCAAAACAGATTTCAGACAGACTTGAAATATCAATAGCTTCCAGGCCACATATCAAATCCCTGTAAAACATTGTGCCATATTTTCTATCATCTCCTAGGCACCTGTAGATAACTGGACTCCTAAAACACATTAGAGAACATGGGCATGCACTCGTCTACATATTTTACATAAATACCTATAAACAGAAAGTGTTAACTTTCTTCCTCTAAGAATTTTTATACAATGGTTTTGTACAACAAAGGTTTTATACAATGCTTAAAAACAGGAACATAAGGTTCCTTCTGAAAACAAAACAAAAAACCCCAACAAAACCATGATTTTCAGCTTTGTTCCACAATAAGAGAAAGTACAACGAAATTACCTCTTCCCTGTGTCTGGCTACAGGCAAATCCACACATTTACGGTTAGTTATTGGTACAGAAGTCCAATCACTTGATTCACACTTAGACAATGGAGTATCTAGGCATAAAAATAACCAAGAGTAAGTTATTTCAATAGAGAAAGGGAAAGACCACAGCAAGAGAATATGATCACTGTATTTGGAAACCTAACTTGTATCAAGTTTGAATCACATACTTCTGAGTATTAGCAGAATTAATACTTTTTAATATTGGTAGATTGAAGAGATTTTCTGTTTATGCACCTGCTGTTTTACTGGCAGCGCTCTGAAAAACATTGCTTCTGTGTATAAGCCACTGTTAGTGCCAAGGATGTATACAATTCTATAATTCTGTATGCTTTTCTCTTAATTAAAAAGATATTATGTTTGTACAGTTTGCATTAAAACTGCCAAATCTACCCCTGTTCCCAAGAACTTTTTTGACAATAATGAAAAAATATGTCTTATTCATGTACCCATGTGTCACTTCCCTTAAAGCTTATTGGATCCACAGCACAAAATAACCCATCATTTGATAGGAAGACCACTACATTTCTACCACTTGGCAATTAAAACACGTCTGGTAAGCATCATGATATGACACTATCTTCTGTAGTCTCTTGCAGGAGTTAGTCAACATTATCACTGGGTAATACAGGACAAAAATCTTACAGTGCTATCAGGAGTTTCTGCTCAGCAGCCTACTGTCAGTTTGACCATGAAAAACAAAAGAGAAACTGAACAGGTGTGAAGGCAGGTGTAGAAAGGGAAAACCAGCACAAGACTTTGGTAAGCAACAATTTTGCAAGTTACAATTAAACAATTTGGCTAAAAAAAACCGAACATTATACTGAAATCAGAAGTGAAAATGCTTTCTATTTCAAATCGGTTTGACCATGTATTATGGTGGAATTTACTTATTTGCATACAGACAATAAAAAAAACTTAGACTTCACTTTTTTTTTTACATCATGTTATTTCTCCAAGAAATACAGAGAGTATTGGGAAAGAAATCTAGTATTCTTTTTACAAAGGCAATACTTACTGTAAAAAATAAAGGCTATAGCCTAAAGACCTGACTGCACATTTATAGCTTCCTTTCTTTGGAAAGTTTATGAACAGTCTCACACAGCAGCGAAGCAGAAGCAGGCAGAACAACTTCTTTTGCCCCTGTACCACGCCTGAATGTGCTCCAACCCCCCAAATTGTCTTCAAGCATCAAGGAATACAAAATGAGTTACTCCCACATTAAAACAACCCCTCCAAAAGCTGGAGAGTTCATTAAGATAGTTTTATAAACCACTAAAAACCAGAGTTCTCCTAAAGCCACACTCTCCAATAAGAAATGCTCTTCACTTAGATTCTGTGTAATGCAAGTTACAGGTGATCATTGCAAAGTGATTTACCTAGCACTACTAAACACATATGAAACAGAACTTGATAGCATCATCCCTTGAAAATATCAACTGTCCTCTTTAAAATACTTTCGGTCAAGTTTCTAAATATATTCCTCAGGAAAATTCATATACAGCATTCTGTCACAGCAACACTGAACAAAGGCTGACTGGCTTCCCTCTGGCACAAACATGTCACTACTGAGACATCAGTAGCTCTGCACCATTTGACCAATGCTGGAAGAAATCTCAAGCTGCTAGGGAAAAGATCCTGGTGCCAGCATATTCCTGCTAAAGCAACATAGCCTTCCCACCTCTATCAGGTGTTCCATGTAACAACTGCAATTTTGAAAAATGCGTTAAAAGTACAGAACAGAAGAGAGCAGCAATTTTATAATAGCGTTTATAAAAAAGAAAGGAGGGACAAAAACATTTAAATGGTAGGATTCACATTATAAGCTCCTCTAACTCAGTAAAAACCTCAGTGTATTAATAAGAAATTGTTAACCTAAAATTCAATTACGAATTTTATTAACAAATACAAGGGAACAAACCTAATCAAATCTACAGATTCGGGGAGCTACAGGATTACAGACTTACCAGCAAGGCGGGCACAGTTTCACTTTTTCAATTGCTTATACTTTCTGGAAAACATTATTAAGACTGGGACAACAAACCCAACCCGTGCACACCTTTGTAATACATTATGCTCAAACATGCATCTTGGATGCTAACATACAGAGAATGCAGGACACTTCCAACCTGAAAATAGTAAATTGAGGAAGCATACAACTGCCTACCATGATGTTTTATGACAAGCAAAATATTTCTTTGTATAAGAAGCATTAATGCCAATCCAGAATAAATAATGATATTAATCTCTCTATTCAGAGTCGGTGCAAAAAGAAACTGAAAACCCACTTATGGGAAAGATGAATTTGCCTGCTTATTTTCTTTTCAATTATTAAAGTTCTGTAGAGATATGTTGACTGCCATGACTAAAATAGTCTACTGCCCATAGAAAGAGCAATTTTCCAGTATCTCAGTTACTGTAGCTCATATAGCTGATGTATCCCTTCTGGTACCTGTTTCCTGAAATTAATTTGAAGAGATCTTTTAACACAAGATTAGATTTTTGTATCCATCAGTTCTGGGCAAAGAGATCATACAGCTGGATCTTAGTATCTGCCACTAAGCAAATTACAATGCGATGTGTTAAAAAAAAAAAAAATATACTTGAAAGTACTGACTAAGCGAGTCAAAAGAGATGCTTACTATGTCACTGATCATTCTTCTGCTCAGCTACAAACACATAAAGTGATTACAGATAGCAAGCAAGCTCACGGGAAAGGAAAACCACAGGAAACAACCAGGTTCCCACGCTGAGCCACAAAACATAAGGACTTCATAGTAAGTCATGCTACTTCAGTCATAATACAAAGTACACGAAGTTGCTGCAGACTGAGCCCTGAAGAGGTTAATCCAGAGTTTGAGCAAAGCGATTATCCTTCCTGAGTGGGGAACACAAGCTGAAGTTTTCTGTGCCTTGAAGTGCTGACCACTGAAGGATGTCCCTAGGTAACATTAAAATTCCTAAGAAAGTACCACAAGTAATTAGTTTTTGCTTGTGACACTTCTGTTCTCCATTGCAATCCTCTGAAACTTGCACATATTTTGAATACAAAAGGTTTTGGGGTGAAGATCTGTGCTATGATTAATTTTCCTGGCATGCATCTGTTCTGAATCCTAAACATTTCAGGAACTCTGTAACTTCAGGCTTTTATATGTCAGAAACCTGATCAGAAACAATCTTTAAATTGCTTCTTCTCTGTAAGCAATTACTTCACCTGGTACCTAGAAGATCCCCAGAAGAGAACCATTTAATGGTGTGAAAACAATGAAAATAATGAAGATACAAGAGGATAGCGCATACAGTTTACAAAACCCAGATTTGGGGATTGGAAAAAAAAATAATTCTGTTTTCCATAGGATATTAAAGTAGGCGAGTGTCCCGTATACATAGGTCTGGAAGGTTTCCCTCTGCACAAGATCCTGTGTGACCTCACTGAATCAAAGGCGTGTTTAAGTCTGACTCCGAAACAGCCAGTACCAATTCTGAAACTAGGATGATGGGCCAGGGAAGAACTGCTAACACTCTACTTGTTTTGGCTCACAGTTTTGACAAAGTACTTTCTTCTGCTTTTATTTAATCACTTCAACTTCCTTTTCACAGCAGTATCATTTCTACCATGTTCTGTAGAAGACAGAACTCTAAATGCAGTTCCCAACAGAGAAGCATATTAGGAATTTCTATTTGTCCCCTTGGTATAAAAGCATATGCTCTTTCAAAGAAATAGGAAAGCACAAAATTTAAACAAAACAGAACCTCACAAAACACCAAGGCACAAGCAAACACTACAACAATTTCTGCAAGATTTAAAATAATCTGTCAATTTAGATAGAAGACATCATCTACAGGCAGAACAGCAATTCAGAAAGAAAGAAGCAACAGAAGGGGTACCAACTCTGAAACCTTCAGGGTAAATCAGCTTCTCATTTCCATGTCATGCAGCTTAATTCTTGACTACATTTGTACTCAACACAGCTATAGTGGTAGGGCCTGGTCTAGATAAACCCCTAATCATTTATGACAATTTTCATTTTTTAAATAGAACATGCACTTCCAGATTGATGTAGCTAATGGGTCTTGGAGCTCTTGAAATCACCATGATGAACATATTACCATTTGAGAATAGCAGTCTCATTAACAACATACACATTTATAATCCATAAAATTAACATTACATGTCTCATGCTCACTCACTGAGCTTCTTTATTGTGTCATTCTAACATAATATTCCTGAATCTGTCTGTAAGTCAAATTGATAGCAGTAAGAACCAGGATTTTCTGAAGTTTTCGTGTTATTCTACATCTAGGTGGGATTTGGCAGCTTGGTCTCAGAATGCCATAGGCATCTTCCAGTCCCATCACAAGCCTGTCTGCTGAGAGTGCCCCACTGGATCACATACAGCTGGGAGCAGAGTGCTTCCCAGAGGAGCCAGGCATCAACACTGCATGGAACAGCTCCTGAAGCAACTGAGACTCCAGGTCACGACACAGACAAAGAGTAGGAAGAGGGGGAGGAAAAAGGACAGAGGAAAACATCTAATAGATTATTCTAATAGAGTAAGTATATGCTAATATTTTAGTAATTTTTTTAAGCTTGTTTGATAACTAGATGCTGTTTAAGTAAGTTACAACTGGAAAGCAATAAAAAATATTAGAAGGTATAAGTTTCAAGGACAAACATTTTAGGATAGACCAAGAGAAAAATACATATTTATGAAACAAATAAAGACTATGCAGAAATATTTCCTAAAAAGCCTAAGTTATAACCCTGTTTCTTTTACAGAAGGAACACTGCTAACATCAGTTCTATTCAAAATTAAGCAGGCCACCAGTGCTGCTAAATTAAGTCACCAGCCTACCTTTGGCAGAATTCTGATTTAATAGCTGAAGGACACTAAATGATCTGTGGTATTTCCTTGAATTAATAAATACCACCACACTTTTAAAGAAACATCTAAGGAACTTATGCTTAGTTAACTTGTTGCTGTGCTTCCTTTGTTAGTAAAGCACAGGAAAAACTAGGGAACACCACATTCCTCAACTACAATTTTCAAAGCTTCTTCCAGTCCCTTTATTCCCCCATTTTCACCTTGCAATACAATACCTCCTCCTCTCTCACAAATTTTATGTAATGCCAAGTGAACAAGAGACAGTTATTTTGTGGTTAGGACAGATGGTCAGATGCACGGCACATGCTGCTCAGGCCAACTGCAGCTACTGCCTCTCAGCTGATGATAGACCAAACAGCTAGCTTCATCACCTACCTGAGCTCCAGAGGTCATATAATTTGCAGAAGCATTGAAGGATGGTTAATTTCTAGAAAATGTCTCAATTTGTCAAATTTTGGTATATTAGCAAAGGGATACAAAAAGCATTACAGAGAATGACACACAGAACAGACAAAACACATAAATGTCCTTTTCTTGGAAATCAGCTACATTAACGAATTTGGAAATTAAAAGACACAGTAAGAGTTTGAAGCTGAGCTGCCCTGACAAGTGAGTCAGCCTCATACTGCTTTTACCAGAGCTCCTAGGAAAGAAGTGCAATCAAATTTCTCTCTAAAGGCAGTTCAAAGCAACAATCTAGTATACACAGAAGTAACATGGCTAGAAAAATAGTATAAAGACATAAATCCAATGAGCAGTATCTTTTCCTTGCAGATATATTTCAATCATATATCTACAGTTATCATTACAAACCAGATGTATGCACATATATCTCATACAACAGCATTATACATTGCTGTTTCCAGAAAATAAGGTGTTTCCTTTTCACACCATGCCTTATATAAAACAAACAAATCCACAAATAGCATTAAACAAACAAGAAATATACAGTAAGGTTTCACAGTTTTGTTTAGAGGAGGAGATGGGAGGAAAGACCTCAGGGAGGAAAAGGACAGGTGTATCTGAGTTTATAATAGGAATCATGTATGTTTGCTTTTTATTTTACCTGGTTTATAGACAAGATGATCATTTCCAACTACATCTAGCTCTTGTGCCTCCACTTGTCTATATTTTTCAGCATATTCAGTTCCAACACTCTCTGTCATAGCCAGCCTGAAGAGGAAAGACATGACAGATCAATAAATGCTTCTTAATCGAAGTCATGGATATCTCTGGGAATAACAGCATTATACCGTAAGTTCAGAGTCTCCATGTCATGTAGGAACTACTTCAAATAACAAACTTCAGAAATAAATTTTGTCTCTGCAGTTAGATACTAGCCTGAGGAAAGTGCCACATTAAATCTTTTCGTTTAGATTAAAAAAACTGAGCTCCCAAAATACCATCCTCAAGTTTTTAATACCTAGGAATTTCTCTTTTAATGAAAGTCTATGATTTTTTTTGAACAAAGAAGAAATAGCTCAGTTTCACCAATTCTTGACACAATACAATTAAGAAAATACATGTAATTGTTGCACAATTCCCAGGAGACAGGGGAAGTTGACAGGAGTAAACACAGTCATCTCACTGCTTTAAGGAAAGAACTTTTGTATTTGAGCCAAGAGATGAAGTTGGCCGGGGGGGGGGAATTAACACAATCACATGATCAGTAAATTTTATGGAAATTTATTACACAAGACAAAGTTTATCCATGACATAAATAGAATGAAACAGGATTAAAAAAATTCTCTTCTACATAAACAGTGTGAAGAAAACCACATGCATTTCACTAGAGAATAAAGCGGCATATACACAATGATGATGATTAAATCATAAATGAACTTAAACACAGAAGAGTTTGGGACACATCAAAAAGGCTCTCCTTTTTTTTTTTCTTTTTTTTTTTTCTTTTTTTAAAACAAGCACCAAACTAGAATTCAAAATTATGGTTTTGCACTTTAAATTAAACTCTGGGCCCAGTGCAAGCTTTTGCTATGCAATAATTTGCTAATGCATAGCCGATTGATTTCTCTGTAGGTGTATATTTGAGACATTTTGTAACAGGATATTGCTGCAGAACTGTCTATTTCTTGGCACAAATAATAAGCAACACTGACTCCAAAAACAATTAAGCGGAAAACAACAAGAAATTTTTAACACGGCACTGCGTCACACAGCTCTCAGAATCCTAGAATGGTTTGGTTGGAAGCGACCTTAAAGATCATCTAGTTCCAACCCCCCTGCCATGGGAAAGGTTGCTCAAAGCCCCAGCCAGCCTGGCCTTGAATACTTCCAGGGATGGGGCATCCACAACTTCTCTGGGCAACCTGTTCCAGTGCCTCACCACCCTCATGGTGAAGAATTCCATCCTAATATGTCATCTAAATCTTCCCTCTTCCAGTTTAAAGCCATTGCCCCTGGTCCTATGACTCCATGCCCTTGTAAACAGTCCCTCCCCAGCTTTCTTGTAGGCCCCTTTAGTTACTGGAAGGCTGCTCTAAGGTCTCCCTGGAGCCTTCTCCTCTCCAGGCTGAACAACCCCAACTCTCTCAGTCTGTCCTCACAGGAGAGGTGCACCAGTCTTCTGATCATCTTCGTGGCCCTCCTCTCACTCCAGCAGGTCCATGTCATCACAGATTAATTCACAATATCTTGATGGCACGGAGTACCCACCTTTTCTGACAAGGCAAACACTGTGCCAGCTTGTCTCTGCTACAGACTACTCATTCACATCAGTCATTATTTCCTTCTACAGGAAACACCAAGTATTTATTACCTACTGCTGTCAACAAACCAAGAAATGGCTTCTTATCCTATTTTAACAATATTTTAGGCATGGAGCTAGGGCAATTTTTCCCTGGATCTCAAGTATCTCTCAATGCAGGGTTCAACAGGACTGCACGCATCTGCACCATTGCTACAAGAGCAACAGCTGCCTACACTTTCAGCAAGCAGACTACACCACTTCTCTGGCTCTAATCCTTCTGAAACAGCTGGGACAGGGAACACTCCACAATAGGCCTGAATCCAAGGTACAATTCCAAAAAGTTCATAACAAGCAGTCTGACATGATGTATAAGTAGGTTATTCCACTGAATGTATATTAAGCACAAGTAAAACCCCAAAATACAATGAAGCTATCAAAATCAAGCATTCTGTAGTTGAAAGTAATAAAGCTTGGCTGCACAATCTCAATTTGGCAGCATTGTATGCACATACTATACAGATTTTAGTGATATAACCAATTATTTTTCATTTCTGTAAGACTGCACCCTCACCAAGTGCATGGGACACATATCTTCTGACAACAAAACCTGGTTATGCAGTAAATACAACTTGTCCTTCAGTACTCTGTAAGGAAAAAAGCCATCTGATTAAGACAGTAAACGCTGTCATAGAAGAACAGGTATTACTCAATTGCCAGAGCCCTGTGCAACAGCAAGCAAATTACTTCAACAAAAAACTTGCACTGAGGGGTAGGGGCTAAGAGTGAGAAAGGTAGGACTGTGTTCCTCATTTGCTCTAATGACCTTGCAGAAGCATCAGTATTTAAGCAGCAGACGAAGTCAGCTAAGAAACAGTTTTATATAACAGCACATATATTCAACTAAATGCTCCCGGGGGTGGAGTATTAAGCATTTCAAAATGGGCTCACAGAAGTATGTATGTGCTTTTGACCTCTGCCTGTATAGCTCTGGGAAAACGAGGACAGTATGACCTTGGTGATTTGTAAGAATACATTTTTCGTTTGTTTAGATAGCTGGATATTTTCTTTCAGAAATTAGGTTTTCTGTCTTCAGAAAACAGCGTGCAGTAAATAAACCTCAGGCTACACAATGAAAAAAGAAAATATTTAATAGCCAGTCATTAAGAATGAACATTGCTCACTCGATGCACTGCATCAGGCTACAATCTTGGGGGAAATCATATGCAACTGGAAAATTGCAGATGAGCATATGAAATGAACAAACAACCTTCATTACATCACTTCTGAATGTTTTAATGCTGAACTTTGCAGCTTCAATAAAATTAGAATCTTAAAAGTTAATATTATTTTTTAAGCAAAATGGGAAAAAAAAAAAACATGAAGCCCTCTGGCACTCTCCTAAGTCATCAAAACCATACAATGCTTCCAAGTAATCGCTAACAAACCATCAGTAGGAGGTATTATCCTATATATACATCCAGACAAACAGAAAGGAATGGAGCATTTTTCTAATGATTTTCAACAAACATTTGCTGACAGCAAAGGAATGCGAAGAGTCAGAAAATTCAAATCCATTCCAGGCTAGGAAAGGACAACCTTAATGAAGGGACTTTTCTGGATTCTACTTACAAAGCCTGCGTCTGTCCGACTGTCACCATTTAAGGTTGGGCCAGCAGAAATTTTAGGGAAAGGACAGAGAAAAGGGAGACTCACAGCCTGGAAGTTAAAATTACTTTAATAAAACAATAATAATGAAAAAATAGTATAATGATATTAATACTAATACTACTAATAATCGAAATAATAAGACAAGTATACAAAACCAATACTGGAGTTTCCCAATGACAGCCAGGGGATTCACAGGGCAGGCACCTGGACATCCTGAACCTGTCGGCTCTGGTGTCTGGAACTGGATTCAGGAATGCATGGATTGGGATCAGACGCAGAAGAATGAGCAGGGTCCCACAGGGATGCCGGCCACAAAAGAAGAGAGCGAGACCCCCGTGATCCCTTAGCTTTATGCTGAGAATGACATGGATGGGATGGAACACCTTGTTGATCAGTTTTTGGTCACCTGTCCCACCCGCACTCTTCCACAGGTGTGACTCTTTTATGACTTTTCACTTGTTTAACAAAAGAGGGCCAGCAGTGCCCTTGGTTCTCATAGGAGTAAGTATAAACATGGGCCTTTCTGCATACCAATCCTACTGATACTTCAGTAGCAACTATAAACATTGAGCATTACCAAGTCTGAAATGCAGACACTGTCTGAAAAACATGTAGCTGTGCTTTCAGAAAGTGCAGTTACTTAGAAGAAACTTAACTGAAAGAAAAACTCCTAAAAGGAGAAATAGTCCCATTTTAGCCAAACCAGGACACTGATACACCCTTTATCTCTTCCCCGTTTCTTTTCCCTCTGACACAGTGAAAACCCACATTTCAGTACATCTGCCCTGTTATAGCATATATTCCTTAGGCTTTCCAGATTCCAGACTTGGTGCTTACCTACTTTCAGATTCCCCTGGGGCTTTTGATCCCTCAAATACATTACAACATTGGCAAACAACTTCACGGCTGCATGTATGAAACACATCCTGAATTTTACTAAATTAAGAGGCAGCAAAAAGCATTTTTGTGACTAACACAATTCCTGAAATTTTTTTTTTCCATCAATTTAAGGAAATGCAGGAGACTTTAGATTTTCTGTTTTTTCTTCCCTCCCTCTCATTTAAAATAAGAAGGTGAGAGTTTGGTCTTATTCAAATCAAGGGCACTTGAGGCCAGATTTCTGTGACTGAACCTGCAAACAGATGACATTATGTTCACCCTAAGCAGACAAAGGCAGGTGAAATTATAAAGTACCCAGAACATGATCAATCAGTAATGTCACTCAACAAGTAACTCTTGATATGTCCTAGCATCTGTAAAACATCACATGTAAGCCACCTACGAAGATGCACAGATCTCAAGATCTACCTACTTTGGAAAATACTCTCAGAAGTAGCCGACATTGGAACTTTGAGTGACAGGCAATGGCCAGAGGTGTACAGCATGCTTCTTTTTAGAAGAGAATTAACAGTTTCTTATGAAATAATGGGATACTTCCCTTATAGTAATTAAACCACATGGTAATGAATAACATTTTCCCGAAGTTTGACTGATCTTACTACACATGAGTACTTAAACTGATTTTGAGCATTTGATTGGGACAAAATATTTTGAAATACTTCTTACTTAGGTTTAAAGGAAAATTCAGTGTCATAAACATAAAATTAAATACAGCTGCCACTTCAGGGCAATTACTAGAAGGGAAACACAGTTTAACACCAGAAATTGTTGACACATCCAATTGTAAATGCTTTCAAATACACTGAGGGTGCCTTTCTTTAAATAAATTCAGCTACAAAAAGGTCTTCCTTTTCTTCAAGCTATAGAATGACCTCTAATAAGTCAACAAGGCCATGATAACAAAGTCCACTTGGCAAATTTTTATATTTGAGCATTTGAAATACGAACCAAAGCATTTTTGCATATGCTTAGTTACCAACGATAGCATCAATTGCCCAATCTCAACCATAACTGTGACAGGTAATTTGTTGGGCTCTTTTTAGTGACATATAGTACAATGCCAATGCATACATTGAACACAGTTAATGTCTCGAGAAGAAATGCTTAAAAAAGCTTTATTAAATGACCAATACAAACAGTCTTATTCCCTGGAAAAATAACACTGCTTATGCAGCAAACTTGATTGTATAAAGACAATATTCAAGTATGTAATGAAATTCCAAGGATTAAGATGCTTGCTTATCCAATCTCACATAAATGCCTATTAACTATTTAATTTGGGTGTAGAAGCTCCTATTCAAGGCCATATAACTTCAAGAACATTTCCACCTTAGAGACAAACAACTGAAAAATCAAAGTGTTCCAGGACTGTGTTTTAAAAATTTCTTATAGACATACTTTTTGCTTACTTATGTTCTGCCTCATTTGACACAAAAATCCCTGTTCGCATGGGACTGAGATTTGAACATAAAACTAGTGTCACTCATTTCACAAGATCACAAGAGGACGACTGCCCTAAGTCACGGCTTCTAATACACACACAAGCTGTCCACCTACTTAGGGATCTTTGAGGGGGGAATCACTTGAAAAAAACACAGCCTTATAGCATACAGAGCAATATTTTGCTGTACAATTTTAGTACAATATATACAGTAGACTGTTTCAAAGCCTCTTTTCTGAAACTAATGTGACACTTTACATAACTGAACATTTGCCATGACAGTAAATAACCTTCCACCGGGTTTACTGAAGGACATACTAAAAATTGCTTTACTTTTAACGGGTAGTTGATGTTCCATACTTTTAGAAGACTGGTCTTACCTGCAGAAATACATTACCATTAAATAAATAATATACTGTCATTCAAAACTCATAATGTTTCAGTCACAAAAATAGATTATTGATGGAATTCAGAATAAGTGAAAGCTATTAAATACTAAAATACGGATTTTACAAAGTGATTTACAGATTATTTTAAGAAGCAAAGAATCAAAGAGGTACACGCTTCTTTCCACTCAAGAGAGCTGTTCTAAAATATAATTAGCTAGATGTAATGATAAAGTCTTCACACATAGGCATCTTCAAGGCTTGCACTGCTCTTCCTCACAGCAGTTACTCAGAACTTCTGTTTTTTAAAACTTTAAGTGGCTGAGGAGAGGGAGAGAGGGAGTGCACTAAAACTAGTTTGCAAAATCCTGAAAAACTCAAATGCAAACTTTTGGATTTGGACAGACTATGTAAACTCAAAATCACAAAAATATTTTTTCTATGTCAAACTAATAGCTCTGCAAGACCTTCCATCTTCCACCTTACCCACAGTTAAAATTAAAAACAAACAAACAAAAAACAAAAAAAAAAAAAAAAAAACACCACCACAAATGCCAGTAGGAAACAGCCCAAATCCTCAAATTTACTGTCCACTGCTCTGGGATTTTATGCCAGTGGGGGAGACTGCAACGAACTGCTGGGCTTCAAAGAACTGGGCTCTTCTGGGAGATGAGCTGTTGATGAGCTCCTCTTTCTGCCGCCATAGCTCAAATAGGGATGTTTGGATGATGGCAGTTACTACCTGTGGCAGATGGTGACAAGCCACAGAGCAACTGCCTCTTTACCACACATGAAACAGTTAATTTTGTAAATTAATGTTGTTATAATTAGTTACGAATTACAAGTTAGATGGGTATTCATATTTATTAACTTAAACCAAAAGCACAGTTCCTCTATCAAGCATTGTTTCTGATCCTTTAGAAACATTCACAAAGCATCTACACTCCTCAAAACTTCAAAATTCATCCCTTCCCTCTAACCACAAAGGCAAAGAACTTGGCCAAAGAGAAAAAAAAAATTTAAAAAATCCCTATAACAAGAAAATTAAAACAAAAGCATTTGGTTATCAACTTGGTAAAATCCAGCTTAAACAAATCCCTGAATAAAATACAATGGGAGTAAGAGACTGCACTGAATTAAAAAATGCCCATGAAGACTAGTATCAAATGTAAGATCCCCTCAATTTCAAACTGACACTTGTAACTCCGCTGCCCATTAATGAAGTGTCACCAGAACCAGAGACATTAATGCTACAGACCGTCCAACTGGAAATCAGCTTCAAACATGTCCTCATTTTATTCAACACAGCAACAGAAGTACAATGATATCTTGCACAGCTTTCTGTCAGTTAACACTGTTAAAAGAGAATTATTACTGTTGCTAGCTGTCACAGCAAAGGACCAAACAAGCAGTCTTACCAAGAGGCCTCTTGTGTAGGCTCATGGCAAGTTTTGTTCATGGTTGTTAAAGAGCAAAAGCAGTAGCCAAACGCTGTCTGAAGCGATCAGAGGAGGTAGACTCACCATCTGTTTGCAGCCCGCAACAGCTACAGTGAGCTGTTCTGTCAAATCAAAAGAAAAATGCACTGCAAAGTTGATCATTAAATCCAAAGAGTGGGGCTGTGTTTATAAATGGAAGCAAATCATCCAACCTGCTCGCTAAGGATAGCTACAAAAATAAGATCTCGCTTTTCTCAGATGACTGGTAGCACTGGTAACCTTTCCATGTAACTGTTCGGGGGCTAGCTGGGACAGAGTTTTCTTCATAGCAGCTCTATGACACTGCATTTTAAATTTGTGACCAAAACAATACTCCTAAAGCATGAATGTTTTAGGTACCGCTGAGCAATGTTTGCACAGCAGCAAGGCCTTCTCTTTTTCTCGCTTTGCCCCATTCCCAGCATGTGAATAGACTAGGGGGTGCGCAAGAGATTGGGAGGGGGGCAGCACGAGGCAGATAACCCAAAATAACCAAAGAGATATTCCATGTCATATACTGTCATGCTCAGCAATAAAGAGAGAAAAGAGGGGGGTTTCAATTAGGTTTATCATTTATTGCTTGGGAACTGGCTATGCATCAGTCTAGCTGTGGGAGGTGGTGCATGACTGCCTTTGCATCATTTGTTTTGTCTTCTTTCTCTCTTCTTCCACTTCTTCACTTCATAAACAGTTTTTATCTTGACCCCAAGTTTTCTTGCTTTTATTCTTCCACTCCTCTTCCCTCATCCCACTGAGGGTGAGCAGGGAATACGCGAGGGGCTGTGTGGTGCTTAGCTGCCTCCTGGGCTTAACCCCCAACAATAAAGTATCAGTCCTTCACACAAAATCCAAGGAGGCAAACCACAGTACATGATCGTATTACCCACAGATGCTAACAAAGAAATAGGTAACATACAGCACATTGCCAATGTGTTGAAATATTAGCTAGCTAGCAAACATTATGACCTGCTATCAACGCTTTCGGTCAAATAAGAATTATGATGATAATTTCTTGGTGTGTCATAATGAGTCTTATTCGTGAAGAGAGCTATACTCCTTGCCTCTTTCAATTGCAAGAGTCAGTAGCATCTTAGATGGTACAGAATCACACAGTCGATTTGGTTGGAAGAGACCTCTGGGATCACTGAGTCCAACCTTTGCCCTAACACCACTATGTCAACTAGACCATGGCACTAAGTGCCACGTCCAGTCTTTTCTTAAAGACCTCCAGGAATGGTGACTGCACCACCTCCCTGGGCAGCCCCTTCCAATGCCTAACAACTCTTTCTGTGAAGAAATGCCTCCTCACTTCTAGCCTGAACTTCCCCTGGCACAGTTTCAGACTATGCCCTCTTGTCCTGTCACTGGTTGCCTGGGAGAAGAGGCCGACCCCCACCTCGCTACAACCTCCTTTCAGAGAGTTGTAGAGAACGATCAGGTCTCCCTTCAGCCTCCTCCAGGCTAAACAACCCCAGTTCCCTCAGCCGCTCCTCATAAGACTAACCCCTCCAGACCGTTCACCAGCTTCGTTGCCCTTCTCTGGACTCACTCCAGCACCTCAATGTCTTTCTTGACATTTCTTCCCTAGTCCTGCTGGCCACACTATTCCCGATACGAGACATGTACAGATGCCATAAAAATCTTCCAAAGTAAAGAATAAGCAGCTTCTCCTCCATCTGTTTTCACCATTTGTCACACCTTGTTGCTCACATCAGTGCAGTATTTGGTTAAATGGAAGTGTTTCTGAAAGATTTCATTTTTACCTATCATCATTTCAGCAGGC